TAAGAGAGCAATTTGACAATTTTCAGTAACTTCCAAAAATATATCACGCAACTGAGTGATCATTAAAGTTTGCCGTCTGTCCTGGGGGCGAGACGTACTAAAAAAAACGTTTATAGAAGAGTAGGTAAAAAGAGAATAACAAGTATGAAAAGAGAGTTAAAAGTCTGATCCCCGTGGCTCTGAGGAATTATGCAGTCAGCGTGCCGCGCGCCGGGTAGGTTGGTAGTTAGCCAACCCACGATTTGCGAGATATACTCGCGAATTCGAAACTTGTTTAGCCGTGCATCGATAGCGCGTGGCGCACTCCAAGCTGTTATCTACTTTTTACATCCCTTCAACATTCTTTAGATACTTTTAAAAATTCATCAAAACCCAGTAGTTCATTTACATTAATAACTTTTTACTTTTTTTTCTTTTCTTACAGAAAAATAAAAACTTTCATTTATAATCTTATTGATATTCTGAAAGTGTATTTTATTAGTTTATGAATATCAAACTATGAAAATTGATCAATTTCATTTTTATCTTATTATTTTTATGATGGATTTTAAACACTATTATCAAAATGTTCCATTTCTAAAATATTTCTTTAATATTGCTATGATATTTATGAAATTTTGATAAAATCAATTTGTTTTAAATATATTGGTGGAATCACGTTTTTCGAAGGAGATAACAAATTTAAGAGATGTTTTAAAAATATACTGTAAAATAAAACCGTGTCCATGAGGAATGATCTTGGGTTGAAAGCCGCCAGCGGGGACAATTACGCAGATGTGTGGTCAGGATAGAGAAAAAAAAGCAAAAGAAGGAGGAAAAAAAATTAGGTGGGTTTCACGATGAAACCTTTCATCCTGATGGTATATATCTTTTCTCGCGCGTGTTTCCTCAGTGAATATACACTCAAGTAAGGCATATAAAACTCGTGCTCGTGGTAGATTAGTATGCATTCGCGTGCGGGAGCGTTAGTGTGGATGAGCGTTGGGTAATTGTGCGCGTGAACGCGAGTTCTTACTCTTCTTTTATCTTTCTTTCTCTTTGAAATCGCAATGCATATGCGTGTGTGGCTCAAGAGTGATTACAGAGCGCGAGCCTCTGGTTGCCCCCGGCGCGTGCGTCTACCACCAACCTCCTCATCTTTTTCCTCTACTTCCTTTCCAAGAAGATCAAGGCTTCAGGCTCATTCTAAGACTACTATCTAAAATCTAAGAAAACGCTGTCATCATCGACACTTACTTTAATACATTCAATTACTGCATTAATTGTCTTTCTAAATTAACCTTCTCTTCATACCTGAATCAATGGAGATCTCAAAGCATGTAGGGTCATCATAAAATTCAATCGATAACATATAAATGGTATATTTGTCTGTGATATCGACGTGTGGTCTTGATGTGTCCAGTGTCTTCAGTCTCGTCATCGTCTACGCACGGATGCATCAATATGATCTACGTGTTGCAGGTGACTAGCTATCATCATTACGTTGATCTACATCTACATTGTCATTATACTGAACCGCGGATATGCGTGGTTGAACCCGACAATTGAGCCACCTGCGGACTTGAAGAGTACAGAGGAAATAGGATACATGCAAGAAAAGGAAGAAAAGAAGAAGAATGTTGGGGAAGGATGACTATCTTTCACAACCCTGAGGAGATGAAACGAATGCTTACTTGTACTTTTTCTCAACTCGAGTCCCCCAATCACTGTTATTATGTCGTCGAACCCCCCAACCAACCACGCATCAGTTCGCACACCTTTTTCTTGTTGCAACTTTTGATTTTACGCACTGTCGCATCCGTTCTTCTATACTTATTCCTCTACAATTTCTTAGTCACAGCATCCCGTCATTTTTTTCCTAAGAATAATTTAAACATAATTATCTACAATTTCCCCATGATGGAGATTTAATTTTGTATATTTTTTAGTAAAAATAATAGATCAGGCCATAGCCAACTGAACTTTTTTGTATGTGAAAGCGTTGACATGGAAAACACTTGAATACTAGTCTCTTTAACACAGGTCGATATGCAGAGCATATTGACACACCCTGACCTGATCCTCCGGAAGATAGATAAAATTTCATTTATATATTGTATCGAATAGGTACAAAATCACATGCGAGAAAGGATGGTGTTATCATGTGCCATCTGGCGATATCTATATTAAATAAGTGAATCATTATTAGGGCAATCTTTGCGACCTTTGATTATAGTTTAGTACAATCAATGCTATAATCTAAACAAAAAATAATAAAAATTCATCAAATAGCATTATCGATACTTGGAGTAATAATAGGAATTCATAGATTTAAGTGAAGTCAGTTGAAAAAATAAAGAGAAATGAATTACCTTTTATAATTTAATTTAATTAAGACTATCATCAATTTTATTTAATCATTTAATTTGAATGATAATTGAGCGTAAAAGGTTTTTTTAATCGTGAATTTCCTAAAGATTGGTGGTGTACCAGCAGTATGCACGTATCAAGTATCACCAAGACAATAGAATCTTGAAGAAACAATAGTGAATCCCTAGAAGAATAACCAGCATGTTCACAATAAAAATGAGAGTAAGGAGAGTTCTAGATAGGGTCGTTAGGTTAGAATCTGAAGGAGCTCATGATTGTCTTCTCCATTCTCTTTTCTGCATCATCTTCTTTATATTCTTGCACACCTCCTTTGTCACATTTAAACAATGAGCCTCTCTAATTTTATACTCAGAAATATTTTATGAGACATTTAAATTATTTCTTCTGATGCTTCAAAGCGAATAAATGCATAAAATCTGTCCTTAGTTTCAGATCGGCGTGAAAACTTTGTAAGATCCTTTCGAAAGATAAAAGATATCCGTTATGGCAAACTCTAGAAAGTCATAGAGATAAAATACTCAAGCCAAACACCTTTTATTTCAATTTAATTTTTTTTTTTGGTTACGTTAGTGATAAATCCTGAAACCATCATATCTAGAACATGAATTCTCGGTTTTCAAATCAAGAAAGAAAGTCGTGGATCCATGTAATGAATGCACGTATACCTGTAGAAAAGATGTATTTGTGTTGTGGTGTGCCAGAGGCCTCGCGGAAAGGTCGAAGAGGTCAGGTAATGATGGCTCGAACTCTGCAATCACGGGAACGCGCACGCCACGTGGCCTGGTATACCTACGCCTCGGCCTTAACCCCAGGCGTATCCTCATGTTTACGTCAGTGAAGCAGCAGAGCATTCAGTAATTGTTGAGAAATCATCCAAGAATTTATTGCTCGCAGCTACTTTGTCTTGGATCGAAAAATAGTGTAAGCTCAATCGTACTATAAATAAATTAAAAATTTACATTATTATTAAACATAATCAATTAAAATGTGTTTTTACCGAACATATATTACACATTAGTCTAATGTCTTACATACATTAATTTGTATGGTAAAATCAACTGTTGAGGAAAAAAGGATGCACGGAGATCAATGCTGTCATAAGATGAAATGACTTGCGATCTTATACAAGGAAGGAAGTAAACGATAAGAACTTGAAGAGTTCTCACTTTCAGTCACGCCGAGTCACTCCCTTGTAATTATAAACACCGCAACCCAATGGGGAGTCTTCTTCACCTATTCTGTCTGCAACATGGACCACTTTGAATTCATATTTGCTACTATTCAATGCTGTAATACATTCATATATTAAACTTTTATTTCGAGAAAAAATAATCTCTCTTTGTAATAAACAATTCTCTTATACTTTAATGTGTGACAAATTAATTATCGATGGTCTGATAATATCAGAAGTAGGTAATTTTTACTTAAAATAACCGCAATTATCTAAATTATCAGGAGGCATCGATTATACATATTTACAAGTACTCTAGTATCTACGTAGCTAATCGTTAATGCATTATTCATAAACGGAAATAATGTTGGACTTTACATATATACGCATTCACATTGTATTTGTATATAAACGATGTCTGTTCTTCAAGAAATTATTTTATTTTTGCTTTTTTTTTAATGTTTCTTTGTCGCTCAAATACAATTAATTACATTTATTCATATCTCACGTGGAATTATTTACGAGTCTCGCGACACCTTTATCGCTATGGTATCACCGGACTGTTTGAGAGCCAGTCTCTCTGTGCATAATAATCTATAATACCAACATCAAAGATATTCACGATTACCGATTAACTGCAGATAAATACCTGATTTTATTACACAATTTATACTGTCACTATTATTAATTATTTGACACGTCTTTTTCTCTGCACCCATTTTTGTAATTATCTATTAACATTTTTCAACTTTTTATAGACTTTACTTCCTGTAAAAAGTTTTATAAATTAATCCTCAAGTTTGTTAATTATTAGTCAAAATTATTTATAACAGACGCAATATCGAGAATTTTTTTTTTTAATTTTAATTGATAGAAAATAAAAATAAGAAACTATCTATTTTTTTTTTAAAATAATACTTGCATCATCATTCATAAATTATCAAGTTCAATGGCATCAAATGATACGGAAGACACTAGAGTAAGGCAAAAAGAAAAACGAACAGATGATCATCGATCTTCTTAGGAGGTTATATTAAGGAGACATAGAAAGACAAGCCACGCCTGGTGTGCGAGGACGCGGAACGGCCTCAAGGTTGAGGCGCGGAAAACCTTCTTGTTTCTTTACGAAAGATCTTTCCCGTGTAACCACCCACGGCGATTTGATATGTGATCACTCGGACATATCGATATCATGTGTCTTCCTCAGTCATTTTCACAATTACTATTTTATATAAAATATACATTTATTACAATCAACAATTGATTATTGTAATTCAAAAATTATCGTATAAGTATTATAAATACTTTGAAAAAATTAAAATGAAATTGATTTTATATTGTTTGATTCTATAACAAGAATCATTAACGTGAGATATTTTTGTAAAATCAATCATTCTGATATTTAATAATCTCGATTAATAATGAGTACAATTTATATTTTTTATTCATTTATTTTAGATGAAAAAAAAATGATTCGAACAGATTTGAGACATTTCTATGATAATGATGAAAATATTAATCATAGTGTCATTTCGTTAAATGTATTTACAGAGACAATTACAGAAGGTATACATTCATTAAAAAATCAGATTGAAAATTTCTGCCAAGTTTATAAAGATTCTCTGCCGAATGACGATGATATGTCCCTACAAAATTACAAAAGAGAATTACAATTTATCAATGATGCTTGGACTTCATTCAAGAATTCACTGGATCAAATAGATATAGATATACGTAGTTATAATGGTGATATGAGAGAATATACATCACACATTAGTAAACATTTACGCTCTTTTGAGTTGTTACAGAAGCAACGAGATAATGTTAGAAATAAAAGTATTAGACTTCAATCGTCAGCAGTATATGAAAAAGACATAGCACCATTGAACGATGCGATAAAAAAGAATTTACAAGCTTATTCTACACATATAAAATTGTACAATGACAAAGTTGATGAATTACAAAAACTGAAAAAATATTTGAATCGAACAGATAGTTCTTCTCAAAGTTCGAATTTTAATCAATTAATAGCCCATTGGAATGTTGTATTAGATAATTTTGAACATTTAATAGGATTTATCAAAAATGATTCTGTGATAGTTAATAACATGAAACAGGCATTATTTACTTTTGTTTCAAGTATGCAAACTATTCAATTGATTAAATTGAGAGAATTGGAGAATGTTGAAAATCAAACGATAGAAAATAGTAGTCTGATTGAAAATCTTCAAAAGCAAGTGTCTGATTTGACGGAAAAAAATTCAGAGCTATTAAACAGCGTGGAAACTTTGAGAAAAAATTTAGACGAACAGCAAATAATAGACTTAAATAATGACAAAGAAGACGAATTAATAAACAAGAATAATAAACTTAAAAAAGAATTGAGTGCTTTTGAAGCTGAAAATAAGAAACTCAGTAAACAATATGACGCTACTGTTAGAGACAACACAGTGTTGTTAGAACAAATAATCCAAAAAGATACTAATTTGCAAGAGGTCGACATTTTAAAGTTGAAACATCAACAGAAATTAAATCCACTTACAACAGAAAAAGAAAAATTGATTAATGAAAATAATGAACTGAAGAAACTACATGATGAAGATAATGAAGCTAATGAAAATTTACTTAAACAATTGGATGAACAAAGAAAAACGATTAATCAGTTGAATCTTCAACGAGACGAATTACATCAAAAGTTGATGAATGAATTTGGAGAACGCAAGCAGAAAATGCTGGATGAGTTACGGTATTTAAGAGAGCAACTATCTACAGTTGAGAATCAATTGTCACAGAAACAAGATCACAATAACAGTTTAATGCTTGAATCACAAAAACTGCAAGAACAAAACAATACTCAAGAAGGGAAAATTAAAAATTTAAGAGAAGAACTTGTTCGAACAAATTTTCGTATAAGTGATTTAGAAAATCAATTAAAGACATTACAGCAACAAACATTAGCTTTAAAAACTGGAAAACAAAGTAGAAATCAAAAAGAAATCGAATTGGAGCAAAAATACGAAGAAGAGAAGAGTGAAAATGAATCACTGAAAATTCAAATACAAGAATTAAAAAATAAATTGTTAGTTCAAGCTGGACCGTCAGCAGAAACAAGTACCAAAGTTCCTGATGAAAGTCATGTTGATTGGGAAAATGAGAAAACAAAATTAAATTTTAGAGATTCTTATGTTACAGCTTCCATAGATAGTATTGATGAAAATAATTGGAACACGTTACAAAAACAAATCAAAGAATTAAATCAAAAGTTGAATGGACTACATGATAAATTAGCTACAGCATATACAAGATTTGAAGCCGTACAAAAATTAAGAAACAAAGATATAAAAATTATGACATTTTCGGATGAGATGGAAAATATTATTAAAGAAATACGCCAACAGTTAGAAATAAATAGGCCTATATACAGTCAAACCTTAGAAAAATTAATACTTGAAATAAATACCAATTATGAAAAAGATCTTGAATTACATAAACATAGTCAATCTGTTTACATTAATTTAACTAATTCAATAAAAAAAGATTATTCAAAAAAGGAAAATAAACATAAAAAAGAAATTAGACGATTGACTGCTAAACAAGAAACTGCAACATCATCGATTAATTCAAATAAAATAATAAAAAATTTAGAAAAAGAAAAAGAAAAATGGAAAAAAAATAAAACTGAAACAAATATCGCATTGAAAGAATTACAAGAGCAAATAACTCGATTTATAGAAAGATATAATGAACGAAATGAAAAAAGGAAGAAGTTGTTATTTAGTATTCAAAGTCATTTAGTTAATAACATATACAGTGATGTAATTAATGAACTATTGATCAATCTTGATAAATTGATGGATTAAAAATATTATTGAGTGAAATAAGCGACATTTCTGAAGAACAATATTTATATTGTTTTCAAAAAATTAAACCTAATAAAATACACTAGATTATCTTTTTTTTTTTAAACTAAATAAATGATGTAGCATAAATCTGATGAGCAGTAGAATCATACACTTAAGTTAAAAATAGAAATTATTTAGCATGGAATATGCAATTTCCAGTGACCTGTGATCCAAGGGTCGTCGGGATATTGCAAGTTGCAACTTCTGAACGTAATTGATTTGATCACGCTAAGTATCCCTTCTTGGTCTGGTTCATTAAGGTAAATCATTTTGGTATAGAAGCGAAAGTGCATCAAATTGCAACTCGATTTACTTCAGTCATTGCATTCGTATTGAAAAAATAAAGATTATAAGAATATTTCAAAAGTTGAGAGCCAAAAAGTTCTACAATAAACTGAAATATAATCAGTGTTTCTAAATTTATTTTGACAGTTCTTTAGTTTAATACAGGACACCCTGTGGAGTCGAAAGTCATGCATATATAAAATTTAAGGGAGTCATTAATACTGCGTAATTCAGAGGGGATACCAGTAGCAGAAATATTCCACCTACTGGCTGCATTCATTTAAGTTTTTTTTTTATTTTCCAAGAAATTCATCATAGATTTTAAAACCATCAAAATTCATTTATGATTATATATAATCTAATCTTGAACAAACTATTAAATGAATTGAATTTGAACTGAATACATTATAAATAAATGTATGAAATTTTTTTACCAAATGAAACCAGTTTTTTATGTACATAATTGGTTGATAAAAGGGCAAGGATTAGCTACAGTAATAAAATATTCATTTTATTTAAGCTGATAACTGCCAATAAAATAGTCACCTTATAGATTTTCTTCTCATTAATACATGTATTTGTTGATCGTTTTTTAATGAAGTAAATATAAAAATATATCAGTTCTGCACTGATTGGCGTATACTCATCCACATTGTCGACACGACATGAGAGTGTCTGTTCTACATCTGCTGTTGATGCAGATGATTCTTGGGAGTAGACATCGGCCTCAAAACGAGTTGTCTTCAATGTTCAAGATTGACCTGTGCATTGACTTTTGAAAGATAAAAAGAATAAGTAAATAAAAAAAAAAAAAAAGAAAGAAAAGGAATCATGAATTGAGGGTAGACCAGAGGCATTCCTGCACGTCACTGTGTCCGCCCAGTGGCTCGACGAATCGCAGGAGACTCTTATATAATTAACCATCAAATTATAAGTTTGGCTATCGAGTACATCCTTGGCAAGATACCCAAGGAGATGGGAAGATGAAAAGAAATAAAAGAAAGACGCCATCACCACCGGACTAGAAGTAATTACCCTCTGAAAGAGAGAAAGAGAGAAAAATAAAATAAAAAGTAAAACGAGAGGAAAAGAAAAATCATCAAAAAAAAAAAGTAACTGGCTACCTTACTTCATCTAAGGAATTGCCTGGATGTCCGACGACTATGCTCATTTTGTCTTTTTAATCAAAATTAATCATGAGGGTCGTTTCTTGGCTGTATCTTCTCTACACTGTTGGCTTCTGCACCTCTTTCCAGTCGCAAAAGAATGATTCCATAAAGACCACGACGTGCGAATTTTTCTCCCGGGCTTTTAATATCATTTTAAAGACATGGAATTTACTTAATAGCTACCTCCGTTCTTTTTTTACTGAATAAATTTCCATTCCCTTGATTCGATCAATATCATTATCGTCATTTTATTATTTTTGACTTGTTGAGAATATTATCGTCAATTCTCGTCTTCGACAAGAAACATATCATTACAAATGATACGAATAGAATAGCTAAGTTTATATGTCCAAATGTCGTAAGTTACAGCATTTAACCCCTCGTTCTAGTACAATTTGATTAATTATCGATGTAATCATTGATTTATCCTACAACACCCACGCTCGTTCAGTATTTATATAGAATGCCAACACTCACTATATTGATATATATATATATATATATATATACATATATATACACGTATATGTATCTTTACGCTGACTCGTTTCGATGGTTAAGCAAGAGCGGTCTCTACTTTACTCCTTGTAATATGTGAGCTTGTATGTATCGATTTTACATGAGTTTAATGTAAGGATAGTTTTCGTCACGATTACACATGATCTGTGTTATTTTCAACTTGAATACATTAGTGAGGTGAAAAGGATAAATAGAAAACTAGAATTCATATTAAAAGATATTTTCTTATTATTTTACAGTTAATAAATGAAAAAGTTTAAATTTTAATTATCAATGGCTATATATGTTTTTACAGAAGTTGTTTGAAAAAATAAATCATACAACAGCAAAAACATTTTTGCAAGTAACGCTACTTGTGAGTTGAATATTTTTATACACTTAGTTAACTAGTCAATTATAACGGTATTGAATATCCGTCACTAATATCGAGTACATACCATCACCATAAATATCCTTTTTCATTTTAATTCTTTATTTAAATGAGAAAAAATAATGTTAAGCTGAAAAATAATAAAAGATAATGATTTAATGTTGAATAAATGTGCGAGTATATTTGCTAATAAGATTAACGTCGAAGATCAACATTCGATTCAGTCGATTTCGCGAGCGAACAAGACTGTAGTCAGCGTTAACCTCGGCGGCCACACGCGTCGCGATCTCGATACACCTCTTGTACGTTTTCTCTGTCTCTCTTACATGTCGATTGAGCTCAAGAGAACGCGGTTTGTCGTCGATCTTCAACCCTGCAGGCCATGGAGAACACGTAACGCCCTGTTGCACTCAATGTGGCTAATCCCAATTTAATGTTGCACGTCTTCTTCGGTCCATTCGATCTTCTTACCATATACACTCGATCGATGTTAAAGGTTTAAACACAAAAAAGTAAAATAACGTATACTCAAATTAACGATCATATCTCTCGTCGTCTGTCAATTAATCGGTTAATTATTAATGAGGAGAGACGATGAACTACAGTCTTCTAGGTTGAATAAAGTCCGTTCATCAGATTTGAGTGGAGAAAAATTGAAAAAAAAAAAATTTGACATGAGGTCGATTAAAATCTGATCGGATGGTGATGCTTTAAGTCGCGTTATGCTATACTTGGAATGAAGAACTCGCATCAGAATCTTCTACGAAAGAAAGAATAGAAAAAAGCTTTAAGCCGTATAGATGCTTACTGGTTTCCCAGTAAAAATAACTTACTATTCATTTAAAACTTCTCCAATCAATAAACCGATACATATAGATATATATTATTAATTTTGAATACTATTGATGTTTAATATGCATCATAAATAATTTAATATTATTTGTTGTATTTTTATTTGATGAATAAATTAATTTACCAGATTGTTTTTGTTTGTTTGTTCTAGGTAAGAGATTGAATTTCTGATGGATAAAGAGCACATTAAAAAGTTAGATATACTTGATAAGATAGAGATAGTCTTGAAGAAGTTTAACAAGGGTGAAAAATGATGTGCAAATGAGTGTGAATTTCACCATCTTCAAGTGTTTTTTTATTGATTAATTTAAAGATAATAACATAAAGGAGAGTAGATTCTTATAAATGATTGAATCTTCATCCTGCTGGTTGCTAATGGTAGAGTATCAACAAATTGTAAACCTTTGCACGACTGAAATAAGAAGGATATATCCGGTGGAATACATGATCCTATCAATAATATTATAATTATTATCGTGCTTGTGACTCTAATTTAACGAGCTCTAACATTTGATTCGAGAGTGCGATGGCAATCGACTTTCAGGCTCCAACTTGTGCACCTTGAAAAGAACACTCACCTCGCTTGAGGCTCATTTTATATCATATTCTTTGGACTATCGTAGTTAATGGGTTTCTGATCAATGACTTTATAAGAAGAATCGTGCCACTAATTGTCTCACTTGATTGTTTCATTTAGTCTATGCCTTAGTTCAATTTAGACTTGCACTTTGTAGTTCCCGCGGTCGCGTACCAATTCGACTTCAGGTTATAACTCGATGATGTCAATTATTTCCACAAGAATTTAAAATGTTTACTTTGAATAGAGAAAGCAGCAGCAGACATTCATCTTAGCTGATGGATCAGGAAGTCTGGCTGTTGATTCAAGACATGAACCATACAAGTCTTAGTATTTTGTAGTCATCGATTCAATCTCTATATCGTAATACTCTTTAGCGCGTGAATTCTATTGCATAATCAGTTTCACGTATCTAGAGAGATACATAAGAGTATTTAGCAGGAGAGATGTGGAGCTGTAGTAGCAGTTCTTGACTCGTCACCCCATGTGCCTCGATAATTAGCCATAAATCGAACAATCAGATCGATTGATGTGCGCGTGGGTCGGCTAAGTCGAGTATATCCTTCTTTCCTGTCGATCCTCTATCGGATTTCAATGTGATTCACTTCTGACTTGGTCTTACCACGATTTAAACACATGTTGTAATGTTGAGTTTATTTTCGCTTATATCATCAATCCAGTAGAGAAAAAAAATAGCATTAGTTAAATAAGATCATTTTGAAGAATCAAATTTTCATTTAAAGAAAGAAAAGTATTTTTTCTTTTATTTGTTTAAAGAATATTATACATAAAGTTCTTACATACTTGGTTGGATAATTGCATTTGCATTATACATACAACTTGCGTGGATTTATTTCGTTCGCCAATTTATTATTTACCCAGAGTTATAACGACACTGACCGCGATCAAGAGAGTTGGATCCAACAACTAATACAATCCAAGAGAGAGTATATGGTATATGGTAATAAGAAGTGGGCCGGAAAGCATCTTTCTCTCTTCTTCTTCTTCTTCTTTCTCATTTTATTTTCTTCTTTCTCAATTGACTTTGCCTGTTGCGCTTTTATTGCCCACTCCTCTTATTCCAACACGAGCATTTCGCGACCTTAGACGACCTGAGCGTGCACTAAGCTGAACTTTTTTCACTTTAATCCCTTTTGGTTTCGCCGACTTTCACTCTTGTCCAAGGGATCGACAGCTTAAATGATTTTCGAATAAAGTATTCGTTTAAATAAACATTTTTTATTATGATAAAAGTCGTGTTATAAATTTTTCTGATTAATTTTTTATTATAAATCTTCAAAAGTAATTAAGATGGTTTATTACCGTTAATTAGTATTAATTCATAAAAACATTCATTAATTTTTCCATATTTTTTAACATGATTAAATATTCAATTGAGCATTAAAAAGTTGATAAAAAGTAAATTTATGAACATTCTCATGAGGAGAGGAACTGATACTTGATTGATGACAATTGCGTAGACAAATAAAATATCTGTGAGACTGGAGACGCAATGAGAGTATAGTATGTGGGGAGTAAGCACCTTGAGAGTATAATTTACATGGTTGCTTTTCACTCAGAACAAAGTTAAGAGTCATTGAAACATACATACATACAAGGTTTATAGCAGCGATGCCGCTTGCGATTGCCCCTTGACATTTACTCCTGGCGTCGCGCCCAACCACCCACGGTACTAAATGTCAATGGTTGAAAAGGGAGACAGTGACGGTGATCGATACCACTTGGGTTACCGTTGAATGTCCACATGTGCGTCGTCGTTGTGTTTCAGTCTTCGAGGTACTCAGTCGTCTCCTTATAAGCCTCTACGTCTATATAGGAAGCGAATACCTGTCAGAGGGGCAAGCCAGGTTGCAATCTGAACAAATGACCACATACGACACACTTGCTCGATAAGAGATCTCACTATTTCTCTCGCTGACTTCGTGCCCCTTGGTTAAATATCTCAATCTCCATCGCGTCGAACAGCAGCAGTAGAAGAACGGCAGCTTATACAGGCTTCTGTCTGAAGAAGAAAGTCTCTACAAGACTGTTTAGTATCTCTAGAAATTATAAGAAACATCTGAGTGGTAGCTGTTGATTCAAACATTATCTGCAACAGCTTACAGTTCTTCACGCACATTCTAGCTATGCATCTGAAATGGACGAAGAGTAGAAACTGAATGTGCGGAAGAGGTAAGAGAGCTGGCGAAGCAACAAAAGAACGATGCATTATTGTTTCAGGGCGACAAGAATGGGTAAGTGGACGTACCTTCTGGTGGCAAACAGCGTGTAACACGTGGCAGTATCTTGTATCGGGGCCGTACTCCCGCTGGTAGCAACTATTTTCTTTCTGCGGTGCATTCGACGACGTCAAGGAGCCAGTGGCGGAGTATCTAGAGGGGCAGGACCATGTCCACAGACCTCTTGGCATGCCTACAAGAGTAGATATCGCGATAACTCCACGACGGAGGTCTACTACCACCACCACCACCACCATTCTCGACCATAAACCGCAACATGTTCCCCCATTGTAAAGCCACTAAGGGTTCATGAGAGGTCATTGCAAGGACTTTGAGAGAGGCCGTGGACACTTTTCTTTAACAGCCTTCTCGCCTCGCTTTGATCGACATTTATTTTATCCAGACTAGTTTTAACTGGTTAAACTACTTAGCCTATGAGGACGCTTTTTATCATTCCACCAACATTAACCTGGTCCATAAATGTCTTGTGCAAATCGTATGGATAAAGAACGTGGGTGATTCCTACTGCATGTATCGTAATTGAAGGCGTTCGTGCATGAAAGTGTTTATTTCACTCTTTGTATCTTGATGACATTACGCATGGAGTTGCTTTTCGATCTTGAGAACGACGATAAGAATGTGTATGGTTATATCCTTACTGCAGATCACTAAGTCTACTTGAGTTATATTCAACATAGTGCATAAGAGACAAGAGATATTCCAACTTTCTGCTGAAAACAACATGGAATCGTGAGCACGAGTTGGGAATACGAATAAGACACTTTTACAATCGATTCGTATTCACACCTAGCATCAAAAATTCTATGCGTTAGATCACTGACAAATGTGTGTATGTGTATGTATGTATGTGATTCCTTAAAAAAAGGGAAAGGCTCTAAAAGTATATATATATATATAGATTGATCAAAATACCAATAGAAAGATTTTTTTATACAACAAAAATATTGGTAGATATATGATTGCAATAAAAGTTGAATGTAATTTTTTTTGTTCTTTAAAATAGATATTTTCTCTTATACAGTAAAAACGGTGTTTTCTAAAAGAAAGAAAAAATTTCAAATGATTTGCAAATTCTCTATAAGTCGAAAGAGAAGATGTAAATTTGTTTAGAAGAAGATGAAGATTATCTTAGCACTGGAGAAGGTTTGTGGGGAGGCGTAACGAGTCGTTGAGTAAAACATAAAAGTTTAACGAGCGGCGCTGTGAAACTAATTGAAGAGGAAGGTGGACTGTAGCAGTTGGTACATTCTGAAAAAATAAATAAAATACTCGGCTGAGATAGAAGTGGAGAGAAGAGAAGAAGAAGAAGAAATAATAATAAAAAGAAAAAATTGAATAAAAAATAAAGAAGAAGAAAGAAGCAAGTCACCCAGACAAGAGCACGCGTACGACTCTTTCCCACTCTCTTTAAGAATATACACACAGCGATGCTCTTAAGGACATCGGACTCATCCTCTTAGCACTGGACTCGTTTCAAGAGTCAATCACTCTTATCGCACAATCGACGAGGGACTACCACCAAGTTTGTGAACGCAAATGATTGCGGGGACCCGGGAGAGTATGGTTTGCCTCTGAGAAATTGCTCAGTTTGAGATTCAAGACCAAGCTACGGTTTAATGGTCTCCAAAAGCGATCTTGAGGAAGACCCATTGCCCATAGCTATTAATCTCATTACAGTTCGATGAACTAAGTAATTCCCTTTTTAAATGAATCAGCCTCGAGATTTGACAATTACTTGAATGAATAAATTTCTCTTGAATTTTAATGAAAGTTGATTGTTTAGTTTAATTAAAGAATAAAAGTGACAACAATGTGGCGCACCCTATTAGGAATTTATGCCAAGTAATGACTGGATTTAATTTTAACACCAATGTGGGAATCGCAAGAATGATCACAAGAAATTACGTCATGCACGAATTCTCTGACACGGATATGCACCAGTTGCCAGAGTTGTGTTTTATGTAGCAAAACATAGTCTATATATTTTTGTATCACAGATGGTAAAATCACTAGAGATTGCATAGCAAAATCGTGACGATAAAAGCTTAGTCGATTTCATAGCGATAATGTTGAAAGTAAGAGAAAGAAAGAGAAGTAGGAGCAAGGATGATTTGAATATCAATAAGATCACTAAGAAGTAGATTTTAAAAGCACAGATTATGATTTATAAGCGTACGAAATCATATAGATTTATCGGTGACTAGTTTATTATATCTCTCGGCGGCAAGCGTTAATGGCAACTTATTGCGTCGCAGCATTAATCAACAAGTTATCTGCTGATAGAGAGCACCCCCACAGATTTATATAAAGGCGGTAATTTTCAATCGATAAGCAATTTTTGAATACAACTTAGCCATTAGCATACCGCAAATTCTCATGCTTGAAAACCTATCTGTCTTGCCAAGGAATTCCAATCCACCCATAGTTGTTTCTGGCATCAAACTCTCGTTTCAAATTGTTTGTTTCGCAAGTCAGTGAGAGCAAGAAGAGACACACATAATGTTATACATCCGGACGTGCAGGCTTCATTACCGGGAAACCTGTTAGTTATGCTAATACTGACTTATAAACCCTTCATTACTGCTGATGAGCAATTAATACGCTTACTTGTATATCCCTCGAGCCTCTCTACGCTGATGCTCTTCCTGTTCATCTGTTCGTAATGTCTTTCAATTATGTACATACCCGGTAAATAGTGTATGTCGACGACCAGGTCGATTCATTTGACATCTACGACATCTTTTTTCTCTGTTAATTCCAGTTCCTTAATTAACTTGTTCCGAGAGATTTAAAAAATAATCTTGATCTCCGTATTTTAGTGGTAATATTGAGTCAATTTGGTAGTTATCGGTTGTTTATTGGTATCGAGAAATAAAAAGACGTGTGTGTTGTATTTGAATAAAATGAATCAACTGAAGATATGGAAGGCATAGCTGGGATGTTGATCTGGTTAGGCTAGTACTCGTGGTGATGGTCGTCGGTCGGTCGTCCGGTCGCCAGCGGCTGGCAAACCGCGCGCGACGACCTCGATAGGGCGTGGCGGGTCACTGGTCCTCTCTCGTTGTACAGTGGCGTAGCAACTACCTTGGAAATCATCATGGAATACTTTGTGGTAAAAGAGTACGAGTAGGTGTAACGTCCTGTGCCATACACCATCGCTGCTGCAGCTGCTGTACACGCACCTCTGCTCTTCTCTCGTCTCTCGCTACTTTTCTTAAGATACATTCTCGATATCGAGTGCCGCACCCATGAAGTTCTATAACACGCAAACCACTGTGGATACCGTTGTTGAGAACTCTAAGAAATCACCTCTTTATTTTAACCATCATGCTTTTTATTATTATACTCAGTCTATTATATTTTTAACTTTTTTCTTTATCTTCACCAAAGTTTTTTTTTTAACCAATGTGGTCAAGTTCATCGATCTGAGAAAATTCTTTACTTAAGGTCACTGCTCTAGAATATTTCAGTCTTCATCGTTCCGGGCAACTACTTCTCCAGAGGTTATGACTACTTTGGGGTCAAGAATCTCTGCAATAAAAAATATTATCCGTTAGGTATTCCCAAGTAATTTTGTCTTTTTTTTTTCGTACACTCCATTTTTACTTTGATACACTTTTAAGTAGATACCTAAATTCATCAATTAAAGATTTTAAAATAAATTCATTCATTTACTGAGTACAATTTTAACAAATAATCTTTACCAATGTTAATCAATTAATAGATTTAATTTTATTGAAAACAAAAAAATAATAATTCCTTACGAAATAATAATAATAAAAAAAAAGTCAATAAGAAAACAAACCTAATTCAAATATAATAAGAATGAATTAAAAAAAAAAATTGTACTCTTGTTGCACTTATTACTCTGTTAGTGAACATGAACCACGTGTTTTTGAATGATTAAAGTCTTTGCGGTGCTTTTATTCACAAGTCGATGCTTGTATTATGCAGAGTGATCATCATAAACATGTACAAATTCGTGTAATGTACGTAGAAGATGAAAATTGAATATCTGAGGGAAAGATAATTCAAATAGAATTAGATACGATAGTAAGTAAAATGATTGGCATGTTGACTACTTTCAGTCTTCTATCTTTCAAACTTTTCAGACCTTGAATGTCACTACAAGAGAATAAGAGAGTCTTCTTCGGAGGCAGCGTGAATTTACGACAGTGTGTTAGGTGTGTGCAGCTGCGCAGTTGCGCGAATATATCATCTTCGTGTTGCACCGCAGGCGACCAATGCACTCCCTCTCAGTCGTTTGAACCACCAAGACAACCTGTATTTTCTCCACCCAGTTCCAAACTGAACCGTGGGCAAACGTGATACTGCATCAATTATATCGTTTCACAAACGCGTTATTAGCTTGGAACATTGCGTATTCGCTTTAGTATTTAAATGATCGCAGTACAAAGACAAGACTTTACTTTTGTTTTGTCCAGAAGTCATGGGGCAAGTGCACGAAGGAGAAAAATATATGCTGCCAAAAAACACCGACGGTGTAGTCGTTGAAATTTTAGGGTTAAAATTACAGCTTGATTTATAAAAAATAACAGTTGTCTAATTTCACCTTTGATACCTTCACCAAAAACCTCACGGCTAAAAGTTTTTTACTATTTATTATAACAATCATTCATAAGAATTCTTTTATAGATCCATACTTTTAACTGGTAATTAAATAAAAATTCAATTAGACATCTTTTAAAATATATCAAAAGGTTTTGATATTAGATAAATATTTTTCTATCAAATTCTTGAGAGTTTCTTGTATTGAAGAAAATGAAAAAACTCTAAGAAGAGAGTCGACCGGTTAGTTTAGCAATCATTGCGTGTACAAGTCACATTACAAGTAGAATATTTCATTCATAAGAGCCGCTTGTATTCCACGAAGTATGATGTACCATACTTCCACAATATTCTACTGTAAACCTTCAGCTTCACACCGTAGCTACAGCAATTATGTTCCACCTTAGCTGAACACATCGACTGCTACCCTGGAGCTGTGAATGAATCGTTTTTTCCAACGTTGCTGACGTTTTTTGTTCACCTCAAGCGCAAAATGGTCAAGATTGTGGTATGCTAGTGTTATCGCCTGCTGTTACTTGAGCCTTGTGGCCTTCCATCGTGAATCTTTGCAATTTTCTTCCGAGACGAATTTCAAACGACCTTCCTACAAGCGTATCTGCCTTCATCTATATTGTTCATTTAAAAATAATCCGACATAAAGCGCCGCCAAGATATAATTCAATGAAAGTAAACTGCCTTGTTGCATTTAAATCTTATCTTCATTTATTCTTCTATCTCATCCTTACGATAGAATAATTTCGATTAATTAACGAGAAAACATCATCCAGGAGAATAATATTAAACTTTATTGCAAGAGAAACTTGTTAATGACAATGATAAATCAATAGCCAATAATTATAGTAATTATTTTCATCTTTATGATTTCTTCGGGCTCTTTTCTGTACTATACATGAATAGAGATAACTTGACACACCTTACAGTGAAAGGTCTGTCGGATATACTACAAAAGAGGCTAGTCCTGGTCAAGATCCATTCAGAGTTCATAAGGTTGACCTAGGCTTGGTCTTATTCGCACACGAGTCATTTCATCGGATATTACTGATCTATCTCTACACATTCATTATTCGCATTACTATTCCTTTTTCATTTATTATTGATACAGACTACACTCGAGTATTTGATTTAGCTTTAAAAAAAAATTATTAATAGTATGATTTATGATGTTTATTCATTTCAGAATTTCCAAGAACATCGCATTGATGGTGCATCTTTACCTCTTTTATCAGAGGACCACCTAACAGGTCCCATGGGTATGAAATTAGGACCTGCATTAAAATTACGTGCAATGCTTGCTCGAAAGTTGGGAGCTTGTACAGTTTGTCTTCATTGTGCACACTGCCATCAGACTCCTCTTCCAGTTCTGAATGCTGCAGCAACAACTGGTGCTACAGTAAATACAACACAAACGCCTGGAAGACGACCAAGTAGTACTGGAAACTGACAAACAATGGCGGAGACTCCGGGTATTGAAGCTGACCCAAATCGGGCTTTAAGGATTGAACGACGTGCATCTCGTCCTGTTCGAAAACCGGATGTTGTTTTTAAAAAACCAATAAAACAATAATTAAATTTTTGAAATTATTTTTTCGCTTTTGGAGACTCCGCCCAATTCAGTACCTTAACTAGATTTTAATGAATAAATAGTACTAAAGGTGTTCAATCCGGATAGAATTACTGGAATTATTACATAATTTGTGTATTAACTCAATCATTTATAAATTTAAACAAATCATTTTTACTGAGAAAAACATTTATCGTTTTTTTCAATTATTCAAAGTCATTTAAAGTTTTGTACTTAAACAAGAATAGAAAAAAAAAACTATAGTTGTTTTTATAAGTAATATCAATTAATTATGATGAGGATATGAATTAAGCAAACATATACATATATTATTGTTGAACAATATATGAATACAAAATTTTGGGAATACTTTTCTCAGTAAGAATAAGAGAGTCAACAGTTGATATTGATATTTAATTAATAAAGAAAAAATAATTTATTATAAATTTTTGAGTAAGCCCATACTTATTAATAATAAGAAAATAAAACAATAAATTTTTTAACGTTCGAGATATTTTTTTTTTTTGGGTTTTGTGGAATTATATGAATAAAAAAAAACAAATGTAAAAATGTTAAATGAATTTATGTAATAATAGTGCGAAAATGGCAAAAACTACGTGCAATAACAATAAATTTTCGACTTGATTTACATTAGTTTTTAAGGAAAATACGTATTTGCTCAAATCGTTGTTTCTTTTATATATTTTAATGAAGTTTTTATGCATTACTGTAATAATAAAATAAGTATACTAAATTATATTTTTTCTAATAAATAAAATAATGTAAATGGATCAACGAAGGAGCCACAATAATATGATTGTGTAAAATGTCTGACTAATAAAAGAGATCAATATAAATCTTTAAAAAAAAATAATGTAAAAAAATTAGTTGTACATTTTTTACTGTAACATTTATTTATTTAGTATAGTAACAGACTTATTGCAATCATATAATAATAAATGATTTGATAAGCGGCTGACTATTTATATTCGTACACACATTGAAGAAAATTTATTACAAACAGTATTTTTCATGTTCAATAGTCTGAAGTCATATTAAAAAATAATTATTGAAAAAAAATTATATTAACATCAATATTTACGAGAGATTATACGCTAAAATATTTTGTAATTCATTTTTGAATAGTTTTTTTTTAATTCTAAAATGTGTACGATAGTATACTAGCGGCTTTTACTTAAATAGAGCAAAATAATATACTTTGTAAATATGCTTAAACACTTATTTATACTGTGCTCTTGAACGAATTGTAGTATTTTATTTAGTATCAATAAATTAATTAATATTATTTTCATAACCATATGATTGCAGAATTTTATAAAAAATTTAAATAAACATCATGCAATGTTTATTGTGAATTTGTCGAGAATTAAAATAAGGAAGATACATTTTCGATGTAACTTGTTATTCAACACATTATATTACGTTAAACATTTCAATAAGCTTATTTAATTCTTTTCCTTATTTTAATTTAAGTTTATTCTATTATTTTTTATTTGTATTAAAATACCGATCTCTAGAACTTTTCTCTTATTTCATATAAGTTTTCTTGTGTATCATTCTTTATGTAATATTGATCGGTTTTTATGTATAAAAATTAACAAAGTAAAGTCATGAACAAAACATTGTTTCTGTTGAAATAAATTTGTTAAAAAACAATCAATTCTGTTTCTTATCTTAATTTTAATATATATTTTTAATATTTAATCTAAAATATGTACATTTATTCAGAAAATATTTACAACCAAGAGATTCTTATATTTTTTTAATCAATATAAATAGCAAGTACCCCGTCCTCTTGCTCTAACAATATTTCAATGTTTGCATATCCATGTTCATCAACAATAACGGTTTTTCCACTACAATGATCATTAATATTTTCTCCAGAAATTATATCACAATATTTTCCTGCTGGCAAATTTGTTTGAATTTTTTGCTTCAAGTCAATATTATCAGCATTAATTGCAATAAATCCTTTATTACCACGAGAAAAAGCAATTTGATTATGTCCATTATCCCACCAGTTTGTAATGTCTGTGTTGATTACAGAATTTCGAAAATGAACCATTTTGTATATTTGTCTCCAACGATGTTCACAAATCCAACCATTTCCACAACTTTTATCTTCATGAATTGTTGGAGATATTATATTTCCTTGATCGTCAGCAGGTGGACCTTGATCAGAGTGATCAAATGCAAAAGAACTTATGATTTGGGGATTGCCATATGGATGAGCAAGCATAAAAGCAATAGCCATTTTATATAATTTCGATTGCTTATAATTAATAACTGGTCCACTTTCATAGCCTCTTTGATTGTCATGATTATCGATGAAAACAAGAGCATCATTATTTGGCAACATACCCCAAGATTCACCAAATGATTTAAACCATTTCAGGGGATTTTTACCTCTGATACCTTGGCTAATTTCCATTCCATATTTGAATTCAGTGACTGCTGCAACAGAATTGTACTCTGTCTTTGAAATTCCTTCTCCGCCCATGTCGATTACTTCTTGGTAAATGTACGGCCGAGAGCCTTTGCGGAAACCATACTCAGTGTTCAAGTCGTGCAGGCGAGAATAAATTACATGAAGATCTTGAGGCCACATATGTTTGGCAGCATCAATTCTAAAATGAATATTTATTGATAGAAAAAAATTCGCTCAACAAGTTTAATCTGACAGTTTATAATATGTTATTATTAACTATTATAACATATTGATAATTTTATTAATAGTTTGACCTATCCTTATTAGTGGTAGTTAAACTATCATAATATATTTTTATTATAATACATTGAAGAAAATTTTATTTTATCGATATAAATAAAAATCGATTGATAAATGAAAGATAAATTAATTTTTTTAATTACATTATATTAATTATAATAATTAATATTAAAACTATTTTTATGTTTAATGAGCTTTATTGTACAATAAAAATCTATCTAGAAATTAAAAAAAACTTACCGGAATCCTGCAACACCTGCATGAATCAAATCATTCAGAAACTTGACAGCTTTTTCTCGAACATACTCGATGCTCTGGTTAAGATCATGAAGTCCAACAAGTTCACAATTTCTTATCTGCACTGGATCTGACCAATCTCTTATATCACATGGTTCATTGAAATGAGTTTGTATGTATGGTATAGCTGGATAATTTCTTGATGGAGGATCAGCTGTTGAATTACCAGTGCCGATTACTTCGAATGACTGATCTGCAGCCATGTGATTTAAGATTACATCAACGTAAATCCTGACACCAACTGCATTACATCTTCGAACCATGTCTTTGAAGTCTTCTTCGTTGCCTGAACGTGTTATCCATTGGTAAGAAATCGGTTGATATCGCTCCCACCAAGGTCTTGATGGAACTATTACATTTTCTTGAACGGGTGACACCTAAAAAAAAATATTTATGATACATAAAGATCACTTATAAATCACCACCATTATAAATAATTGTTAATAGAAAAAAATAACTGTTATTTTAGAAATTAAAAAAATAATTTTTACTCACTTGAATACCACCATAGCCCATAGGTCCAAGAAATCGTTCACATTCATCCGCAATATCCTTCCACTTCCATTCAAATAAATGAACCATAACATCATGTCCAACAGCATAATTTGGATCTTTGAAATTAACAGTTGGTACAGCTGATATTGCACCAAACACAAGTAATATTACAACGATGGAATACATACTGATCTTTGACGTTATGTTCATAAAGTTTTAAGAATTTATACCAGTAGGTTATCAACGAATTTATAACAAATCAGGTCAATCTTTCAAAACCCCTCCGCTTATTTGAAAATATCTTTTGTTGTTATATCTTTTGTGGACTTTTTTTGTAAATAACCAATTACCTATCAGCAATTTGTTATCAATAATTTATGTGATAAAAATAAAATAAAAGATAGCAAATTGCCATTATGATTTATTTAATGAATTTATTGAACAGGAAATGATTAGTATATCTTTTTTAACATTCATTTGTTTTATTAATGAATATTAATTAATTAAATTGATTTACTGGCTATTACTGTAATTTATTATTTTGATTATTACGCTACATATCGATAAAATATATATTAAAACTTGAAACAAAAAATTGTTGATGAATATTCTCGATTTAGTTTTTAATTCATCTGAAAAAATAGTTTTCATTAATAACTTCTTTAAATTTTTTATAATTGTTTTATAAATTAAAGTTTACAAGTAATACATTTTAACTTGGATTAGATAACTAAAAATTCACTAAAGATGTACGGCCAATATGAATTGCTAAACATCCATCCTCAGAATCTGCAGGTATTTCAATTAAGGCCATTCGATTTTTATCAACTTCAATTATTTTTCCAGTGCAATTACCATTTATGATTTCACCAGAAATAACATCGCAGTATTTACCAGCTGGTAAACCAGTGTGTAAAACTTGACGAAGATCAGTATCATCACCGTTTATAGCAACGAAACCTAAGTCTCCTCGTGAAAAAGCTATTTGATCATCATCATTGTCCCACCAATTTTGAAGTGGTGAATTTTTTGCTACAGAACGAAAAATGACCATTTGATATATTTGACGCCACCGATGCTCACAAACCCAACCATTTGTGCAAACTCCTTCAGAATTTATTTCAGGTGATATTATTGTGCCGTTTGAATAAGCTGGAGGACCAATACTTGGATCATCGAAATAATATGAGCTCATTACACGTGGTAAACCATAAGGATGAGCCAATTCAAATACAACTGCCATCTGAGAGCATTTTAAACTTAAAATATACATCATGCAAGTGTTATTTTTTTATTAAACTGGTTTTCATATATTTTTCGTACCTTATATTGTTTGGGAACTTTATAAGTTAAGATAGAGGCTCCACCAGCTCCATGGCCTCTCTGATTATCATGGTTGTCGATCATTACTAATGCATCATCAGATTTTAATAAACCCCATCCATTACCCCAATTTTTTAAATATTTCAAATCTTCATTTCCGCGAAATATATTTCCCAAAACTATTCCAAAAGTAAATTCAATCACTCGAGCAAAACTCGTGTACTCTTTTTTGCTTACAGCTTCACCACCAAGATCAATAACTTCTTGATAAATAAATGGCCTTGCATTTGGTGGAAATCCATGAGCGATACTTAAATTATTCATTCTGCTGTAGATTACCTTCAGATCTTCCGGCCACATGTGTTTTGCCGCGTCAATTCTAATGATAACAAATCAAGTTTATGTTATATTATCAATATCTTAATTTTTGATAACAATCATGAACGATAAAATTCTTCGAATGAATTGAGGGATTTTTTCGTTAATTATTATTATCAAATAGATAAAGCATATTGGTAATTACCGGAATCCTGCCACACCCATATCAATTAATCGATTTAAAAAATCGACAATCATATTTCTCACGTGTTCCTTGCTTTGATCTAAATCGTGGAGACCACTAAGTTCACAGTTACGTACTTCTGTAGCATTTCTGTAGTTATTAATAGCACAAACTCTGTGAAAATCATGAAAAGTAAATGGAACTGCTGGATAAAGCCTTTCATCAGTTTTAGCAATGGATCCATCGACGCCAACAGCTGGATTCGCATCTCCAGTCATATGATTAATCACAACATCAACATAAATTCTTACATCAGCTTTATTACATCTTTGGACCATTTGTTTGAATGATTCTTCATTTCCAGATCTTGAAGCAATTTTCATTGAAATAGGTTGATAACGTTCATACCATGGTCTGCCTGGAATGATTAAATTTTCACTTACTGGTGATACCTGTAAGAAAAGAATTTTAATCACAAAATCGATTATAATTGACATTTTTAATTATTCTATTCACCTGAACTCCTCCATATCCTTTTGGCCCTAAAAATCGTTCACATTCATCAGCAATATCATCAAACTTCCACTCAAACAAATGAACCATTGTTGATCGATCATCACGATAATGCGGATTTTTTTGACCCTTTACATTTGTATAAAATATCAATAAAACTATACAAATATTTTTGAATTCCATTCTAGATATAATCCCGCACATAATCTTACTACAGAAAGACTATTATTCTGATAGTAGCACACTTATATAAAAACCGCCTATATAATCAGCTGCGCATTCTATTAAATAGTATTTTTTTTATCTAAATTATATCAGAATGTCAGGAACTTATGACGAATGATGATAAATCATTTATTATTGCCATTAAGATCAACAGACCTGAGCAAATAGTAACACATGAAATGATTATTTTGTCAAGAGGACAAATGTCATGACACTGAAAAATATTTCACTGCATAAATAACAATGCTAGTGTTATGTAAACCGTATGCGTTGTCATAATGAGTATTAAAGAAGAAAAAAAAACAATTCAAAGAATAATAAATAATTATGTCATGAATGTTTTCAATAATATTTATTTTAATTAATTTATTTTTATTAATTTATTATATTTTGTTATATTATATCACGATATTATATAGAGATCGAACATTAGGTACGTTTTCATTTCGCTTGGCGAACAGTATATTTTTTGGTTTATAATTAATGACTCGTTTGTATTTTTTTTTTTTAATAAGACTTATTTTCCTTAACTGATTATATAATTATATTCTTATTGTTATAAATATATTTCTTTATTATTTGATTGTGATTGCTGATACTTTATTAAAGTAGGAGCATATAAATGATACCGTGAATCTGTAATATATTTAATCAACCAACAATTATCGAGCAATCAATTTCATTTAATGTTATATTATATTTTAATTTAATTTGTATTGATTATGAAAATTAATTATAATTCAATTTTACTTCAGAAATAAATATAATTATTAAAAAATATTTATTCACTACTTTCTGAATATGAATTAGTAAGTTATAACAATTTTGCAGTAATTATTACTAATTTATATTTAGAATGTATCTCAAAATTGATTTGATCCTTTAATATTTCTATTTCTTATGCTCAATTGTAATTTTTTATCAACCATTTTCACAACTTTGAAATGATGAATAATTATTACAGCATATGTGAGTATATATTATTCAAACAGACAACAAACTTATTTTATTCTCACATCAATATAAATATACCCCTGATATTTATGCAAATACAATGCATATAACACGATGATATAAAATATAACCGATATCTGCACACGGTATCGGCACTACAATAAAACTTAATTCATATTTAAAAACATTAACAAGCACGTAAAATGTTTCAATGATTGACAATATGATTATTTAGTCTATGAAATGTTATTGATATTCACTAAATATGTATATTATATACTCTCAACTATTTATAGTTAAGTCGTTGATGTTCTGATATCAATCTAATATTTTGATTACATGATGAATATCGAGTAGATGATAATGCTTATGAACAAATTAAAGGAAAAGTTTGCAAATACCGGCACCGATGTCTTCGGGAATTCCGAAAATATTGAGGTAGGATAGTTGTTATAGGGCGTCATAGAGTTTATAGAATTATTTTAACAATATATCGAAAAACGAAATCGTATATACAATAACGATATGAAAAAATCTGAAAAAAATTCTTCTCAAATATAATTTTATAACTTTCAAAGTATAACTCGATACAAATGAAAAAAAAATCAATATTTTTCACAACAATTAGAGCAAACTATATTTTATCAAAATTCATTCGACAATTGTTTAAAATGATAATGTTGAAGTAATACGAATTTAGTGAACTTGATAAAATTGATTGATTATCCTCTATAATATACGATTTTTTTTTCTATACAATATTTGCTTTCAACAGTGCTTTTGCCTGTGAATGTTAGATTATTTAATATCAAACGAAATACCAGTTAAATGGTTATTGAGAAGACGCCCTAGGATGACGGTGATGATGAAGTAGATTATATACTGCTTTTATCTATTACAATAATCGTAACGTTTTCACTGGTATTTAACTGTAAAAGAATATTTTTCATAAATTTCATTACAATTATAACAATTAGAATAATGATTACTATTTGCTTAATTTAATTACAATTCTATCATCAAACATGCCAATAATAAATATTATTTATCAATAATAAAATTATTTTTAAATAAGATTTAATATTTTATGAAATCGAAACTTAAATTAAAAAAAACCCCTTATTAAATAATTATTCATTCTATTTACTGTAAATAATATTTATATTATATTTGTTATTGTTCTGTATATAAATAAATCAGCAAATTATTTTTTCAATGCAATAGCAGTCATTATACAGTCATACGAATGTTAAATTTACGTTGGTCAACGATATACATATTAATAATTTGTCATTGTTATTCATATTTATTCTTAAAATATTGATTGATTATTTAGAACCACAATAATCTGTCTTCAATTTTCATTTCAATTGAAGTTTCTTTTTTGAAGCTTTGTAAATAGAGTTCAGTCAAGTAAATATTGTACTTTCACAACTTTAATTTTTAAACAGTTATTTTTACTGAAGGTTTCCAAAACCTTCATTTAATAGTTTTAAATGATTCTTTTTTTTTTATTAATATATACAAATCATTTGTGTCACTTTAAATAATTCTACAATGTTATTTTAAAATTAGAATCTATTCCAGATTACTCTTTCTACCCGCCCTATTTTGTATAAAATAATATTGATATATTTACAATCGATATTATTAACAATACATAAATCTTTTTGATTTCATTATATTTTTTTCAATCTCAAAAATATTTTACTCTAATAAATAAGTATTGTAACTGATGACGTATGAAATTAGGGACACAAATGATAGAAAGATATTGATTGATGTGTTTTAGATTAAACAAAAAAATATCAATCAATGTTTTTCTAATTTCTAGATCAATATATTCTAAGTTCGATGAATGTGACGTGATTAAGTTATTCTCGAATTAATGATATTGAACGATTTGAGACACATCCGACATGAAAAATCTATGATCTTGATCTCGTACATAGTATCAAATATATAATTCGAGTCTTTTTGGCTTTTTGATATAATCGACGGATATGTAGTCATAAAATTTAGAATATTCAAGAACCAATGTGGTATTTGAAATTTAAAAATTGCTATTTTTTAGCAATCTGAATGCTTGATAGCTATCATTTTACCGGAGATTGATATTATCACTTGAATATTGTTTTGAAAGCAGAAAAAATTTTATCTAATTTAAAAGAAACTAAAACTTGTGTGTTTTGTAAAGCCAAACAAGATCTGGACGACCTTCTTGTCTCAGCACGAGTCTGATGTAAAGTCCACCGGGTCTTTCAATATTTTCGTCCTCTTCTATAACATTCTCCTGACGTGTAAGAATCACCTGTTGTTGAACCTGTTCCTGTTGTACTTCTTCTTGTTGTTGCATTCCTTCTTCTGATTTGGTTTCCTGCTGTTTATTTTCAACTTGAATGACTTTTATTTCTTCGATTTGTTGTATCTCCTGCTGCTCTTCTTCTGGCATTGTTATAGCAGGACCGTGAACTATAACTTGAATATCTGATGTCTCATTATCTATTTGAATTAATTCCACATTCGTATTATCCGTAGTGGCCGCAAGTAATGCGGCCGGGGCTAGAGGTTAGTTACTACCAGAATGCTTTTGATCAGAACCGACATCACTACCACTTGAACTTAGAGTCATATTGCTTTCATATGGATCCATTGATGACTGTACTGACATGCTACGCCCATGCTTTCTCACTCTGTAAGGAGATAGTTTTCCAACGTCGACACTGGTGGGGTCTGCCTGCAACAATCGTCTAGTCAAGTCGATTTCACACCTGAACCAAAATTTTACATCAGCATTGCTATTAAATTTTACATCCACTAATTACACACCTGATAGGCCAATGAATTCATTATGGTTTCATGAGGGACTAGACCTAATGGATTTACTTCTTTCATTAACATTGTCGCTGGAATTTTATGAAATTGTATATACTCAAGGAAGTTTCCAATGACATCTTGTAGAGTAGTATTAGGATTGCTGTCGCAGAATTTTTTACTCCACATAAGAGCTGCCTATAATTAAACAGTATAATAAAAATAATGAATGATAATATTCAATTATACTTATAACTTAAATTGTTACTTGAAATTTAGTAAATTCATCTGCTCTCAGTTCTTCTCTTGCTAAAATTAATCTAACAACATGCTGTGGAAGTAAGGTAAAAGAGCCAAGATTCAAAACTTCGTTTCCATGTTCATCAACAAATTCTAAAACCTAAAATATAAATAAAGTGATTATCAATTTTTTTTTTAATTCAATAAATAATTCACTACTTTTTAAAATCAAGTTTACAATTCAAAATATTCCTAATTTTTACCTTTTGAACAAGTGATTTCGTACATTTATATTGAATGTATCGTTCGGCAGATGCTAATAGAGCACATACTGTATCAACAGTAATACAACATTGAACAAAACCAGCACAAGCTTTTCTTAATTCATCCAATCCATAGTAATCGGCAGCGTTCATGACTCCTAATAATAAAATTATTCAAAATAAATTTTATAACTATTGACAATAAATTTTATAAATATTTTACATTACCTAACAATGTTCTTGGTTGTAAAGTGACACATCCTGTATGAATGTATTCGATAAGCTGACGGAAAACATCTGGCTCAAACTCCTCGATAATAAGCGTTTGATGTTGATTAGGTTGAGGCTTTGTAATTAAAAAAAAGTTAAAATTACCAACACAATATCGGATTATAATCGTATAGATTTTTCTACAAAAAAATTATTCACACTGAAATGAAATACAATAAATGTCAATCGATAAATAAATTAAATGAATTAAATTGAGAAAATTTATTATTTAATCATTATAATATAATGCACGTGCTAAACATTGAATTAAATTCACTCATGTTCGATTGAGTAATTGTTAGGGTGAACAGAAAAATGATTAATATTTATAATTTTATTATTAAATAGTCAATATGAAACTATTTCCTATATTTAATATCATTTTGATATTTTAAAAAAAAAATATCCATACATGTCTATTCGTATGGACGAATAATGAAAGTGAGAATAAATCAACGCATCAGTGGAACAAAAAGTCTTAAGTCAGACGAATATTTCTACAAAGCCTTATAAAGGTATGCCACACTAGACTCAACATAGATGATAAAATTCCAAAAATAATTCTTCAATTTTGCATGCATAGTTTTGCACTACGCATGTTCAGATCAATATCAGCCAATTTATATTATTATACAAAAGTGAAAAATAGAGTTGACATTCGTGTAAGAAAAAGTACCTCTTGTATGGGAGCCAGCTGCTGAGTGAACCCTGAACGCTAAAGCCACATAATAAATGTACTCTTACTATATGATTGATATTTCAATATTTCATTTGTCAAGTTTATTATTAAAAAATAATTTTGATTAATTTCAATCTTGGACAAATAATTTTCAAATTGATTATAATTCAATGTTGAAAAAATATAAAATCTATTTAGGCTGTTCAAGTATTTATAAAATTCATAACATCGATAACCTATTATCGTAAAATAATAAAATTCTAAATTGTTATAAAGATTTGAAAAAAAAAAAATAAAAATTTACCTGTTGCGCTGCATTTTGTAAATTTAATAACGGCTCCGAACTACGTTTGAATAAAAATCTTAGTTTGTCTTTCTGCGGTTCCTTTTTCCGTTGTGGACTAGGTTGTTGATAAAGCATTTTATGGAACACTCTGTAATTAAAATTAATGAATTATTATCGATTGAATAAATAGTCAACTAAAATAGATAACTCATGGCATCTTAAATAAATAAGTTGAAAAATAAATAAAGCGTTATGATTAATTCTATAGATAAAGAAGGGTGCATAATTTATTAATATAGTAAGGATATTTTTTTGATGAAATTCTTTACAATTGTTTCTACAAACTTTACGAACCTGCTCCTTGCAGCGAGAACAGCCTTCACCGCACATACCGGTTCCCTAGTTTCTCCAACAAGAAAGGTCACATCACAAAGCTCGGGCATGCTCGCCAGGAATTTCATATCTTCAGCAAGACCCGTTCTATTTTCGAAGGTCGAATAATCTGGCTCGTCAGCCACTCCCATCACGCCCAGGCCAACCCCCGATCCCGAAGCTTCAGGCATTGAGCTTGCGTTGTCCTAAAATCATTTAATTCAATGTAGTAAAAGAAAGTATTTATACAATATCTTGTTTAAAAATGACTGATAGATGCTGATCAATATGGTTTATCTTTTGAGAAAAATGGAATTATTGAAGTATTTTTGATCTTTCAATTATTCGAAATAGTACGCAGGTGCAAATAAAGTTCAAGGTCGAATTATCTGTTCACTTGAAAACAATTGATCAGATTAAATGTCAAAAAGCACACTTCATTTTATGTACATAAAATCGATAACAAAAATTTTGATGTCATTTAATGTTAGTTTTTTTTTAATTTGTCATTATCCACTTATCAGATTCGATTAAGTTATAATTTGATGAAAATAAAAATGTGATATTGAAATAGTAATTAATACTAATGATGAAAGAAATTAAATGATTTTTATTCATGATAAAAAATAATTATGGAAAAAAAGAATGATTATTTATGATTTAACAAAAAGGAATTTACCTGTTGCTCGAATTCTGGAGCTTCTTCGCTTGCCGGGCTACTTTTCCCACGGAAGAACACTTTACCGTAATTTTAATGTTCTATAGGGATCTGAATAATAACATATTGACAAAAAAAATAGTTAGCAAACACTTTGTTACTTGTCAAAATCACAAGTTATTAACGTTAAGCATACAATAACTTTGAAATAGAGATTCTGTAAAATTCTTCTTAACATACGCGCAGGATCAAATTTTTAAAGAATGAAATTATATTATTTATGATAAAATTATTGGGACTTTTAATTCATTTATTTTTTTATTTATTTATTTTAAGAATTTTCTTATTTAACACTTACAATATTGTGATAATTCGAATTTCTTTCACAACTAAAACTGTTAAACAACACTCAAAATTTGTTTAATGGCATTCAAGAAACGTATACTCTCAAGAGTAATAATAATTTTAAAAATTTAAAAAGATTCAACAGTTTATTCCTAAATGAATGAAATAGATCACGTAAGTTTTAAGTGTTGCCCCCCAAAAAGTTACTCTATACGTTCACACTCGTTGACGTCCAAGGTTTATCTATGAACAGGTCGATCCATGAATGGAAATGCTTGTGAGCTTTCCACCAGGGTGTTTTTCCTACTTCTACTTGCACTTGGACTCTCTAGAATTTCCACTCGATATTTCATTTCAGTTAAACCGCATGCGCAACCCGCGAGCTTTCTCTTCTATCCGAATGTATAAATTCTTGTCACGATTTCTATTTAATAAATTCAGAAAATTTTCATATATTTTCCATTTTTAATTTGAATTTCTTATTCCATTATTTAATTCTTATTGTTGTAATTTTACTAAAAAAATAAAATAAAGGAATGATTAAGAAAGAAGAGACTGACAATAAAAACAAATCATTATACTGACCTCATTCTATGAACACGTCATAGATGGAATTAGGTCATCCCCAACCAATAAACTATCTTTCTCATCCCCTATCCATCTTTACTTAAGCTTCTAAATACAAAAGGGTTAATAAATAATGCTATATATTATATTACAAAAAATCGATTGATATTTTTGACGTTATAAAATCTTTTAATAAAATAGAAGAATTGTATAAATGATAAATTAGTTTTAAGATTTCAAAGAAGAAAAATTTAGTTTTAATATTATACCTGAAATCTAACAAGATACTCATTTATTACGTGTCTTTTCTATCAATTGTTGAATTCCTTATCTTTCTTATAAGATCGATAATACGTGGAACCGCAACAAGTTGGTATTTTATCTTATTTTCAATCGAGGAATGAATTTTTATTTTTTCAAACGAATTTTACTGAGTATAAAAAAAAATAAGAAATTTTTTAGGATTAATTTGGTCAAATCTATTGTAATTTTTCAATATAAATTACATAACAAATATTCTTGGATAAATATTAACAAAAATAAAGTTTGAATTATTATTAAACGATTTTTCATTACAATAAAATGAATTAGTTAATAATATATAAATTTATAATAATAATAATAATAACAAATTTAAATGATTAAACTTTTACCTAATGCTATGAGTACTGCAAAAATATTTGATAGCGGAATATCTTAGAATGCAAGTCGCTTATCCTAGACCGGAAGTTCTACGCTTGCGTGAGAATAACGAACGATTTCATTCTGTTTTTATGACAAATCTACGTAAACTTTCGCTGTAATTAACTTTGATGTAAAAATAAGAATTGAGTTTATTTCAATACATATATTGGGCTGTAAATAAATTGTAATTTCAATTGTTTCAGTCTCTGTACAGATAAAGAAAAAAAAAATATTAAGAATCAAAAGCATTCAAAAAATCATACGAATGGAGGTTTTTTCATAAAGCTGGACCGACTTTTTAACATAAAACAACATCGATTTATTTAACATAAATGCTCGCATATTATCATGATTTAAATTTATAAGTATTATTATGATATTTATGATAATAATATTCACATATACATGAAATAAGGCACATTTGATATTACAATTATTAAATGTCACATATCGCAAATAAATTGAGCGTTATGTCATTTCGTATGTTACTTTTTTCTTTGTTTAATATCTTAGGATATGCTACATCTTCACCATGTTTATAAAATGTTATATGTAGTGTATATATTATTTATATACATGTCTAATGAGTTTTTTATTTATATACTTCTGGATTAGAGTAACGTTGCTTATTTAACAATCGCTCATAATATAATACATCATGCAACATTTTCATTCATGCCCATAAGTTCTTCAAAAAAAAAAAAAAGAAATAATATTACTCGATCACGTAGTACATTATTCATTATTACAATTTTTTATAATTAGTCTCTTCAGAAATTACTTAAATAATTATAAAATTCTTTCGTTTTCTAAAATTGAAATTTTCATAATCATCGATCTTGTAACAAACTTATTGAATATATACGCTCTTGGACATCTTACATGATATTATTTTCTGATATATTTTTACGTACCAATAAATGCCATTCATTCACACTAACTGTATCGATTTAAAGCTATTGGCACACGAGACGTTGTAAATTCGGGCTTTTTTCCACTCGATACAGTCAATTAACTCTTTAATCATTCTATCAAATTACGCAGATCCCATTCGTATTTAGTATTACTCTAGTACGTGTAAAATAATCTCAATAACTGAATTTTTAAAAAAATTTTCTCCATTTTTTTTTCTAGTTATTTTACATTCTTTTCTCTATTTTATTTTGATTATTTATAATTTACTAAATTTATTTCTAATTTATTTGAATAAACTGGCATTAAGTGCGATAAATTCACACAAATATACAATATAATTGTAGAATGTAATTTCTTAATGTACTTGATTCATTTATTTCAATAATTATTTATCGATTATCTATTTATGTTTATTAAAAAAATTTTTTTCAAGTACATGCATTTCATAATAATAACCACAGTTTGATAATAAAAAAGGCATTAAACGAGATAAACAAAACGTCGAATGTTTTGATAGTGTAATTTTTATAATTGCAACTTTCCAGGCGCATAATTCCGTCATTGAAATAATTCTTAATATGATATGGTTATTTAAATGGTTTACTACGGCATCTATAAACGTTTATACTGATACTTGACGAAAAAACATGCGCACAATAAAATATTAATAATTACATTAAAAACTGGTTGACAGTCGACAGTTCATTTATCTATAATTCTTTAATAGAAAAAATTTGCCTTTCTGGTTATCAATTGTTCTAAAAATTCATTATTTTTTATCTACTTAATAAAGTTATATTTTTTTTTTATCAGACGACTTATTGTTGTTTATCAATATAATATTTACATAACTTTCATCTGTGCGTACATGAGTAGGCCGTGCCTGGAGTTCACTTGCTTTCAAATTCAGTTTATATTTTTATTGAGTCAGAAAATTTATAATTCCTATATTAATGATCGAATAATAATTCTAAATGTCAATCAAATTGTCAAAATACAAGCTAATATAGTCTATTCATTTTTTTTTTCTATATATAATTTTATTTAACAATTACGGTATTATAATAATCAGACGAGGAATGTTGATGATATAAACATCTGTAAATGCTATCAGTCGATGTGACTTTTTGGGCCATAACGATGATGTATGATCCTCGATCTTATTCGTTTAGAAATGTGATTTGAAGATTGGCGATGCGAGGATACTCGATATCACAATTTTGATGGAACATAATTTTCAAGAGACCACTTTTGTCTCACTGCTGTCGGCGAACACTCTTCCATTAATATTCGTTGTTTATTAGCCGTTATTGCCATGCATTTATCACTGCTTCCATGTCTGATTTGTTTCGTCTAGAAAAAAAATGAGTATTAATTTAAAATATAATACAAAATTATAAAAAATTTTCATTAATTGAAAGAAAGTTTTTTGTTATAAATTATGATGATTCACTATGTTAAGGAAATTTTTTGTTCAATGATAGTTAAAAATCATTTCAATGAAAAAATTTTACCTGAGGATTATAAATCCATTGTTGATTTCCTTTACTTCCATGACAAGGATATAAAATAACATCAGTTCCACTGTAATCTAAGCAGGATTCATCACGACGTATTTCCCCAGTTTTACTTAGCATCCAATACTATGAAAATAGCATTAAATTTTTTGATTAAATATTCTATAATAATATTCTAATGATTATAATAATAGTAATGATTGATCATGCAACATGCAATTTCCCATGGTGATTGGAGTAAAAATTTTATTGAAATATTACAAATTTTTAATGATATTCACATTTACATTTAAACGAATATTGATGATACTTTTGATAATCAAGATAAATTAATGGATGGGTCAATGAAATACTTCATGTTTCATCATTGAATCAAATACCCTGACGCAACTATGACCGCTGAGAGTCAGTTAATGAGCATCAGACGTCAATAACTGCTTTCTGTGACCCTTGAAATCGTACTGGTCTCTACCTAGTCAAGAGATTCAACGCGACTCTAATTGGATTAATTCATCTCGAATAGTTTTGTTCATAATATCCAATTATATGTACTTATCGGGTCTTTCACGTGGATATTTGTTCAATAAAATAAACTATTCTTTGAATTTTTCACAAGTATTTACTGTTTTTTGCTGGTTTTAAATTACCATATATTTAATTCAAATTTCGCTACAGAAAATAGAATGCACGTCAGTAAAAAAATTCAAAGAATTATTTATCTGTTTGATATTTACAATATTTGCCAACAATTGTTTATTTATTCATCGAAAGAGAAAAAAACAGCTTGCAATATCAAACTGATGAAAGTAAATATTCAAGGATTTTTGTTCAGCTTTATGACAAACGTATTAGTTATATGAAATTCTAACAAGTTACAAAAAATAAGTCAAAAAAAAGTCTGTTTGAATTTTTATGGAATTGATGCAATTCGGTTATAGGGGGAAAAAGTTGCTCAAAAAAGTTCTCTATATTTGTGGATAAATGATAAAGTTATTTGCTGGTAAAAAAAAAAGTTAGATTGGACTGTCGATTACTATTACAAAATGAATTGCTATTTTACATAATAAATAAATTATTTATTCAACGAAAAAAAGAAATATTGGCAACTGTCAGACAATAAAATATCCATTTTGTCTTTAACATAGATTAATTGATAAACTTTAAGATAATTATTAATATTCAGAGACAAATTTAGCAACATTGTATTACGTGTTACTCAGTAGGTGGTCTTGTTCGTCAGTCAGACAATTAATTCAAGGATGCGTCGCGATTAAAAATAATACTGAGAGATAATCCTAAAGGCGACTATGTTCGTGTTACTAGGAATTAATGAGAACTCAAATCTGATAAGAGTTGTTACTGATTACAGTTGAATAGACAAGAATTAACATGATTTAGCTAGTAATTTACAAAGTGCTCGACTCCAAGCTTCACAAAAGCGTTCAAAAGAGTATTACCCACTACCAGTTAGAAAAATAAACAGTTATAAAAAATCGATTAGTGTAATTAAAATAAATGAAGCAAGCATTTATATCCTTATGCTAAATTTATTAAAACCAACTCCCGACCAACTTTGATACTAAAACTAAAGTTTTATTTAAATTAAAATCTAAGACGTTAGTTTTCATTATTTTTAAATTATATATTCACAACCGAAATTCTTTAAGTAATTAAAGTACTGTAAAAAAAAAAATTACTTATAAAGTTAAGAAAAACTTATTTTTAGGAAACTCTATTTATCATTATAGTAAATAATAAGCAAATATATTGTATCTTTGAAAAATAAATTTATTATTTATAAAAAAAAGTTATTAAAAATTAGTAAAGTTTATTTATAATAATTCTGATGACAGGAAGTTCAAAGATTTTATGATGTACAAAAGAAATGAATTTTCTTCTATACTAAGCTTTAATAGTTAGAAAGTCATAAGAAAATTTTAAAGTTATTAAATTTTTTTTTCTAAAAATAAATTTTTCACTAAGTAGGATGTTAAATAATTATTCCGATTACCCGCAAAATTATTTTAAGTAACTTTTAATAAAATTTTTGTCTTGGACGTGCAGTTTATACCTGATTTCCGCCTTGACGATGACAAGGCCACAGCCCTACTGGCTGATGAAGATCTTCCGGTTTTCCTGACGAGTCTATACACACGTCTTTATTGAGGTGTCTTATCTGCATTAAAATTACGCATAATAAAATTACCGAATGTAATCCATCAAATCGAGAATTTAACATCTATTTATCGCTATTACGAGTTTATTCCGTTCTCGATCAATTTTGAAGATACACAAAATAAATCAATAAAAACTTAATGATATTCAACCTTATAAGGTCAGACGGGAGTTAGTTTCACATTAAAATAAAGCACACATAAGGCGGTTTGGTGACCTAAAAAAAATGCTTGGTAAGTCTTTATTGTACCTGATTGCCGCCTTGACGATGGCATGGATATAACCCGACTCGTTTGTGTAAATCAGACTTACGAGCTGGTGAATCCAAACAGGTACCACCACCCTCTCCAAGATTTCGGATCTATTGTAATTAGTATTATCATTCTATGCTATTTATTTATTCAAAGTAAATTTCTTTGTATTTCAATCAATTAGTGATAAATATTTACTAATTATTTAAACTCTTCGTAACTCAATTTATATAATTCAGAATGTCCTTTGAAAATTTAATAAATAAACTTTGAAATACATAATTAATAAATATTTATCGAAACTATAAACTTTATGAACCTTAAACTAAATAACTAGAATATAGATTTTTATGTCAAACTTGTGTTCCCACTGAAATAAAAAACTTGTAAATTAGTTGGCAGGTTCTTTGGTAATAAATAAAATATAAAAAAATAATATTGTCAATCTGCAAATGAAAATAATAACGAGTAATGAAATAGCAGCGTATTCACAAAATTAATAATCAATGAGGCTGGATTAATAGTGATAAAATATAGTATAATGCAATAAATAATATATAAGTTGCACGCATAACATTTAAAAGAAGGTGTAGTCAGCAACTCTTGATTTCTGTGAACGTTAAAAATTTTGCACACGTCGCAGTCTCGTTCTACGATCACCAACTACATTCTCCGGTCCTCTCTAGTGATGTTGAGACTGGAATAAAAACTATGATTCATCGACCATACTCCTCGGCAGTGATGAAGTTCTACAGGTCTAGTCTCGGTACGTTCTCGGTGAATTAGCTGAAGAGAAAAAGTGAATTAAAATGAACTGGAGGCTTTCATTTGCAGATGGAGATTATTAATGAGCATATATATGGTTGCTCATCCTGCATATGGCGCGATGGAAAAAGAATTGATTAAAGTTGATTGGAATGCTTTGAATTCCCGATTTAATTCCTGTCATTGATAATAAAGCTATGATTATTTAGTATTCATAAATATTCATTAATTAATAAATTTATAATGCTATAACGGGTGTTATGAATTACTCAACTGTCTACCGTAGATTTAAAAATGCTATTAAAACATTTTATTTTTATTTACTTCAAGTATATAAATGTGTACAGAAAATGAATTTAAATAACTTCCTAGAAATCCGGAAATCATATTCACCGAACATTGTCGAGATTGTTATGTAGCCAAAATTATTCATGTTACTTCATACACATATCCTACACACTCTTTAACTTACTCTGTTAAATATAAATTCTCCTGCAAGTCCTACACCTACGTGATTTAGACGAGCTTGGAGAAAAAAGAAAATTACTTGCAAAGAGGAAAAAAAATCACCAGTAGAGTGTAGTTTTCCGTACACATAAAAAAGCAATGTGGAAAAAACATAGGTTTTTAGATTCACCCGCCCGTGATAAAATAATTATTACGCCACAATATTCAAATAAATTTGTAGTCTTTCAGAAATCCAATTTTCTTCTTTTAAAAAAATATATTAAAAATTTTTGTCTTTTACAAATATTACAATAATTTATTGTCGAAAATGACATTAATATTATTGATTATATTTTTAGTAATTTAATCATTTTTCATTTACTATTATATTGTTTCAAAAGATTTTTCATTGGGGAATAACAACACGTACAAAATCAAAAATCTATCTAACTTTACCTTCATTGAGTGTCATATTTACTGCTTTGATATAAATTCAGTCTCCTGGTCTCACATTTACAAGAAAAGCTTCCAGTTCAGAAATCCTATACCTTTTCACTGTATAATAACAAGTCAAAATACGGTGAACATTATTGTAGTTTACGTTTGATAACTTATTCCTTTATACTTTCTCCTAGAGTTAACTCCATCATTTAATGTATTTCATTAGTATTATAATCGATGAAACAATAAACTGAAAAGATAAAGCTTACCTCGCCTGAAGCGACAGCTTCTCCTGGAATAAACAGTTCAGGATACACATTGTCTAAGTACCACTTGAAAGACTTGCAGCCAAGTTTCTTCCTTAAAGCCTTGCGCTCTGACACATCTCCATAATTTCCCTGTTGGAACATAAAACCGTAAGTTTACGAGGATGTCTTAAAGAGCATAAAAAAATTCACTACAAAGTTTGAAAAGAAAAAAAAAATAATCACAAGATAAAATAGCGAAAGAAAAAAGAATTACCTTATCCTGACCTATTCGTTGATAGTAGTATTGAGCATATTCGTCCAGCCATACTTCACTTAATCTTATGCTATTTCTCTTGAGCACGTTCACTCCACTTCGCCACTTGTATGGAGAACGTTTTCTAAAGATGTGACCGACGTGTGAGCATGGTACTATCTCCAACGTACCTACAGAATAAGTATAATTATTGAAAATAATTTAATTAAAAAACATTTTAATAAATTGAGATAAATATTCAATTTATGTTATACATTATATTACTTCACAAGCTTCAGTACTTGGTTCTACTAATCGACATTTTTTACTTGTTTCTTACAGGTATCAAAATATTTGTCATTCAACTTTTCACAGGTGTTAAAGATGAAATTAATATTAATATACGAATTTGAAAGAAAAGAAAATGCTGAGTAAACACGTTTAAATGAATATTATCATTGAACAGAAGAATAGATGATGTCTTTTCTCAATGGAATTGAGGTTGAAATGCTCCTTCGAGGAGTAAAATTAAATTGAATATTACATGACAATGAAAAACGATAGGAAATTGTTCAAACCTCCACACATCCAAGTTTTGAATGACAGTTCGAGATTCTCGCCTCCCCAGATGTCGAAACCACTGTCATAGGTTCCTAGTCTCTCGAAGAAGGCGCGGTCGATTGAAAATAGACCACCTGCCATAGTAGGTGACCAAACAGGCTCAGCAGGATTTTTATGCCTCTTCTTTTCACGCTCCGGCACCGCATGCCAGTTGAACTTGTTGAATAAATATTCAAGTTATTATTTATTATTTTTGTTTTATTTAGATTAAATTTATTATAAAACTTTTATTAGTTATAATTATCCATCAAAATCAACTCCTGATAAGTCTGCTAATTACATCCAGAAACTTTTGTTTGACGTTCAATCATTAACTCTAGTTTTTATTATATAATGAAAGTTTTAATATAACTCATTAGTGTATTTAATTTTTTAAAATATCCAAACAAACAATGTATAAAAAAAATTAATAATAAAGAACTGAAAATTTAACAAATACATTTAATTAAAATTTAAGAGAAATGATATTTAGGTTATTACAATATTTATTTGAAAACTCATAATGTAAACTTAAAATAAATTTATTATCGATCAAATGAGAATTTTCAATATTGATGAAATATAATCAAATATTTATGTAATTAAAAAGTTTAAATATATATTAATTTATTTTTTCTCATTAAAACATGCAGGAAGAACTTTTTTTTAATTCAGTTAATTAACTATTTCATTACCTGTAAATTCCAATCAAATCCACCAACATTAACACCACCAGAATCTCTCCAGTGGTACTCTAATGTCGTATCATCAATCACATCAATCACTGGACATACGACAGTAGTTGGATCTCGAGCAATTCGATCTAAAAGAGGCTCCAACCATCCTTCTGTACATTCACAATGACTATCTAGATAGGTTAGTACTGGTGCAGTTGCTGCCGCAGCTCCAAGAAGTCTTGCACGAATTAATCCTTCTCTTTTGGAAGCTCTGATGATTTTTACTTTAGGATAATTCATCATGTAATCCAATAATTGCCTTTTTAAATGAGCTGTAAAATATAATGAGCTATATTGAATTAAATGAATATAACACTATAATATTAATTAAATTTTAGGTGCAGAAATGAACGGAATCACAATGATTTCCCAGGTGAGCCAGTGGAAATATTTCAACTCGTAAGCCAAGATCAAGATTTACGTTCCTACGGAATGGAATAGTGATAAAGGATTATAATTAGTACCACTGATGATTAATTTTGTGGTTTTAATATCCAAATTTCAGTTGATAAATGACACCATGATAGGAAAATTGATTTTCATTTAACTACTTGTGTATAAATCTCTTTATTATTGAAAACTAATTTCATAATTAAAGTTAATGGATAGTTGCTATAGTTGATGTGGAATATCTTAAAAATCATAACGGGCTCCATCTTTGGGCTATCCAGTCTCTGTCTTCCAGCTACTTCCATTAGTTTTTCTTTCGATAATAAATATGAAAGAATATAAGACAATCTCATAAGCTATGATTAAGATTAACACAATGAGAGGATAGAATAACGTTTGAGAATAGTAATGAGATCTATTAATAATTTATACGAGTAGCGAGCTTTATGAGCTTTCGAAATACTTAATCCTGATAGCAATACTGTTACGGATTACTTGAATATATAGATACGAATGTAGATGGATATGTCTGAAAATAGAATGCTTCATTACTTAGATTAAAATGTCGTAAATTCTGTAGTTCATAAAGTGGGATTTAATTAATAACTGTAGGCTCGGCGTTGTGTACATCAAAGACTGACGTGGAAGGCTAAGGCGTAATATGTCGAGGTAAGAGATGTGTGACGATGAAGATGAACATTGTCGATAAAATAATGGTATCGATGGTCGGGTAGAGTAATGAAGTCTATAGCGTGATCAGACATGATGATAATGTAATGTAATGGCTCACGTGTTCTATTTGACCCACGTGAAGCTCGGTTAGCTCTTTTACTAGGGTATGGTTCACAGTCCCTACACTAGGACGACGCTAAGTATGTTTATGAGACTCCCTTCCGGGAATGCTTATCACGGAACTTCCGAAAGCAAAGGAAGCATAGTTGATGACCCTTTTCCAACGACATCTCCATGATGCACTCCACTGGTTCAATCTCAGAATATCCTTTGTTTTATTACACAGCAGCTTGTCTGAATGATAATGAAACCCATGCAATTAAACTGTACCCTTGTCCTTTCTTCTATTATTACGTTTTCTTCGGAGATACAGATAAGCCACGAGTTATGAGCATTTGTTAAATTGTGCTGATATGATGTAGACGACTAAAGCCAACTTGATTAAATAGACGAGCTTTGAAATTTTTCTTTTTCTATTTTAATTATCCAGTGAAAAAGTATTTGTAATTTATGAAACTATTAAATGTTATGATATTGATAAAATTAATGACAATTAATGAATAGCAGTGATTTAATAATTACTTACGCATATCGGAGAAATCATCTACAAGGATAATTTCTTGGATAAGATGTTCTGGTGATCTGTCTAAAACAGAATGAACTGTTCTGAGCAGCACAGACCAAGCTTCATTGTGGAAACAAATAATAACAGCGGTGGGTGGTAAATCTTCTCTGTATCTTCCAGGCTGTTTGCACCTGAAAATAAAGTAGTTTGATAACTTGGCTTTTATTCATTTTTACATAATACAACTTTATTTACTCAACATCTTAAATATTAATTTCATAAATTTAATGTTGTGTAAAAAACAAATATATATTCTTTGTTGTTCTATTATCTTTTCGTATCCTATTGAATTTGATGCTGACGTTATCATGTCAAAAAGTACTTTAGTTAAATAGATAATTACACGCTAACTCTAGATACGCTTTTCATTATGTGTATATATATATTTACTATTGTGTTGGATTATTTGTATAAAACTAGAACAAACTTTAAATCAACTCTATGAATGGAGAGGAAACTTTATTCTGATATCATAATTAATGGACCTAACCGTAAAGTCATCTAGCAGTGTCTAAACTTTTCCTATCACTTTCCACCTTGTTGATCGACCTAGCGTACATGTCAGCTGAAAATAGAGAAACCAAAATTATACTTAATTGTAACAGTGATAGCCACTACTTGACAATGGTTGTTAAGTTTGATATCCGAATGCTTTCATGCTTTTATCCAATGTCGAAGAGTGGATAATATCAACCCTGAAAGTCAATCGACCAGAAACGATTCAAGTTACTTGCTTCCCAACGATTGCACTTCATTCACTTCCTTCCACTTTATCTTTTATCTTGCGTTAAATGCTATCATGCCTCTATCATTAACCTTTTAATCATCCAAGATTCATTATAAATTTTATATTTCGATCAGTCTTGCAGGTCAATTTTCTCTTCATCTTACATTATTATGATGACTTTAATAACACCCTTAAACTAGATAGTTAAGATGAAAAAAAATCCAAAGGATATTCATGTTTATTTTAAGGATAATTTTACAGATGAATAATAAATGAACGAATTTAAAAAAAATAATTTGTTATTTGATTGGATGATGGTTAAAATATATTTTGTAGTAATTTAACACAACAGTGACTTGTTAAATTTCAATTGAACTATTGGTTGCGACGTGAAATTAAAGTACTGGACCCCATAAGGGTAGTACGGTATTACTTGCAGTTGGAAGACAGCCAAGTTACTGTGCTTATTGGTTGACTGTCTTCCTATAACATTTCTAGATTCAGAATCTTCGACAGCAGTGAACGGGTTCGAACGCTAAGGGGACATACCAACTATTCTCTTTACGTGAATCGTATCACGAGATCTCGAACTTAATGGACATCGGAATGGGTACACGAAGAACTGCCAGACGTGCAAAGATGGTTCGATTCTCTTGGTAGATGTGCCTCTTTCCTTCTCTCGATGAATAAAGTCACTATGAAACTTTAGATCTGCGGTGTAAACTTTGTTATTTTGTCCAAGTTGGCGACAAGATTTAGTTCTTGTTTCAATCGTGTTCTTCAGTTTAAATAAGAAAAGTCTTCTTTTAATTTTATTTTTTAATGTTTACTAAAAGCGTAAAATTTTTTTTTAATCTTAAAATTTTTCGAACAAAGTTACCAACAACTGTACTGCACGAAGTCCACGAATTAATTGGAGCTCGTGATTAGTAGCTCCTGAGGAATTACGACGATCCGTGACTTTGATTAATAACTTTCGTTGCCAACTTTCAAGCAGAAGATTAATATCCACAAACCCAAAGGGCCTATGAAAAGGTGGAAGAGTCGAGAAAACTGAGAAAGTGATGTAGAAGAAGCGTAAAGCAATTACAAGAAAGTTCCAACGTTACCTACGAAGAGGTTTGTCGTTGTTGGATTATTCACTTCAAGGGTTACGAAATTTCACTACTGAAGAATTTAGATTCTTAGAGATTGTAAACCTACTGACTCTTAGCTCACTACTGCTGAATTAGCTGTTCAAGTCGTTACTCTCCACTGAACTGCAACTTTGCAACTAACTACTACACCAACGTTGCTATTTTATTGCCGATGTAAAGTCAAATCTCATCACCAAATTCCTCATCATTTCTCAAATTACTTTGAAATCGTAATTTTCACAGTTGTTAATTGAAAAAGAAGCGTTATAGTACTAACTGATCAACATTTCAATTATAAATCAAAATGACGATATAAATTTACTGTTGTGCAAAATACCTTTAGAGTTATCCATTTTATTCCTATAATGAAGATTAAATAAAGCTTACCATCATACTGGAAGCTTAATATGTATTCAAATAATTAAACAACATTTTATACTTTTAGTAATAATTCCTTTTTATCACAAGTTTATATTGCACCTATTTTATGATGTATTATGAATAATGAAATATTGAATTATAATCCAAATATTATGCTAAAATATGATCAATTTTAGAAATATAATTCAAATCTGTAAAAGCAATGTGGATAAACACATTGAAAAAAAAAAGACAGATCAATGAAAAAGATTTTATAATTTATTTAAGCTAATGCAATTTCATAGCTCAGTTAATCTGATACCATATTTTAATTATGACTTTTTATTTTCAAAAAAATAAGCTACTGCTAAATGGAAAAGCATTCCAAAATTATCAAAATTTCCAATAAGATTAATAAACTCTTGAAAAATATGATATATTCAATGACAAATCTTGTTACTTTGGATTTTATAGCGAATTCTGACAAAATTATCAGATTATTAATCCGATTTCATTTAGAGATTATTGAAGAATAGAGAATATTTTTACTGGCATTATTTGAATTATTAACTCTTTGTTTAAATATTCCACTGTAATACAAGTGCTATTGTTCTACAGGTCAGTCACTGTTTTCAGCAAGATTTATTTTAAATAGCAATATGACGAAGCTTCAATTATGCTGCTCGGACATTGCTCATATACACTAATGAACATTAATATACACCATGTTGTCATGTTCAGAGAAGTTGAAGAGGTAAAATACAGCAGGCAAATTCAAAATCATCAACTAAAAAAATATCAAATATTCATTTTAAATTTATAGCAAAAGAAGATAAAAAAATTTGGATTATTTTATAACTTGTATTTAGATGGTGTAATTTTGATCGTAAAACAGGACTAATCGCAAAATTGCATCAATTGCTTTTGGAATTATTTATTGGAATTGAATATCTGTATCGTTTGCAAAATGTCGTCGATCATTTTCATGAATGGTTGCCAGGTCGGAAGTTCGGGCGTCCGTTCGAGTGATTTCAAAGCGTGCGATCGCTCAACGATTTCTCGTGAACGGGTTTTTGAAACGAAAAATAAATGCCGAGTTCACGCTCACGCGCCGCGTGCATCCGGCATTGTGATCGATACCTTTCCCATATGGCGCCGCTTCTCAAATTCTTTTTCTGTTTGATATCCTTTTCATTTCGATATATTTTATTATCAAATTAACAAGAAAGAACTTGTGTGAATAAAATACTTTGAACTAATATAATAAATTATTATTTATGCACATCTTTAAAAAACACTATTCGTGATATAATTCTTTTTTAAAGTTCAAAGGAGTCTGGAATAAAGAATCCTTAATGAATCGAGAAGCGGGTGAAAATTAAAATTTTCTATGAACAGAATAAAGTGATGATAAAAAGACCAAGAAATGACAGAGAATGTCACTTTCTTAGTGTTTTTAAGTTCAAAATGAAAAGTACAATTTTTTACGGTGAAATTCATTATCTTGACAACGTTATACCAAAAAAAATTCTTCATTCAAGCTTTTTTTTTTTTTTGTTTAATTAAAAATATTTTGCTAATGCTCTTAATTGATATGTTTTCTTCCCACTTGGATGAGTACTTCACTAAAGATAATTTCCATTAGTAAACAAATGAGATGACTGAAGATGCTGTCAATTGGAGTAAGATTGATTGATTATCAGAGTGAAATTCACTAGTTATACCTAATTCAAGTCAGACGAGTATTTAGAGTCTATCTGGAAGCAGGTACACATTGCGAATTCGTGCTAATCCAGCTTAGGAGAGCAAGCTTTAGTAGATACCAACGGCGATTCCAGCTCAACTCGTGAACTCAGACAAGTGTCCCATGATCTTCCATGCATATACACCATACATACGCTCTAATACTCTTTGTTAGTCATGCGCTCACTTGCTTTCATGTTAATCGATCGTACAAGTTTGGTACCATACTGAGTTCAAATAACCACCAACGAATTTGTAAACATACGTGTGGTCTGCTTTGTGATTAAAAGCTCTCAAATATGTGCTTACCACATAACAGACTAACGGAAAATATTCAACTATATCCCTTCTATTGAAAATTCTCTTTTTCATTCTAGGATTAATTTCTTTTATGTGGTTCTGGAAGTCGTTTGATGCTCACTTGATTAATTCAACAACTTTCTACTCTTTTATCGATCATTAATTTGAAAAAGATTAAAAAATGTTGAATAAGATGGGAATAAATGAACGGTTTACTTGATGTGAATTAAAAAAGACATTTCCAAAGGTAAATTCGAGTAAATATACCATTCATCCATTGTGAGCAACAGGAAAATTTGTTTTTCTATGCACGACTAAAGTTGGATATTTGCAAATACGTCTACACGATTTCTTATCGAAATTGTTTTTCGTTTGCTTTATTTTCCCTTCATATAATGATAAGTTATTTATATTAAAAATCATATAAATATGTTTTTAAATAAAAAAACTTTTATAAATTCTAATTAATTAAAACTGTCAATTGTCTTGCATACTTGTGTGTCTAAATATTGCTGAGGTGTTAGTTCTTGGCATGAAGTGTAAGTTTGACAATATGGTGCTTCATTGACCTGGCCTCTAATGAGCAGAGAGCTGAGAGCTCCCAGACAAGAGAATCTTCATTTATGACGGCGTCACAAGTTCTCATCTCTTCTATGTCCTCTAAAGAACTTGCATTGCTGATATTATTTCAGACATACTTTTTTTTCATCGCCATTGAATATTAACTCACTCTTTTAGGTTCATTAAAATGTCATAGCAGTAATGAATTTGAATAGCTTTTGAATGTCAAATAATAAATTCACTGAAAAATTAATAAAAAAGAGAAATATAAAATAAATTAGATAATCATGTTATAATAATAATAATATATAATTGATTATAAGAGACTTTAGTCAAGTTTCCATCAAAGATTGTATTGACTTTATGTGCAAAAAAACTTTCCGAACGTAAGACATGAACAGTCAACGATAAGGAAAAGTTCAAGTTCTCAGTATGTCTTTAATACTTTTAAACCAGACGATATCGTTTTAAAAGCCATCTGTTCTTTACTTTTCTTTTATCAAATAATTTTTCAATAGTTTTTTTTCTGTTTGCATGAATGATATACAACGTAGATGAAATATGTAATTAATGCTAGACGTGTTCAAAGTCAGACACCGTCTTGAAAAGTAGAGGGTGCAGCCTCTTACATCACCCCATGCATCTACTTCATCACGACCTCATCAAAGAATTTTTTTTATATGTATTTCTTGTAATATACCCAGCACGTGCTTTTGAAAATTTATCAATAATTAACTTGATAATTGAATGTGTATTTCAAGCAATAAGGTGCACAATGAGTTTACTTTTTTTATAAACTTATTTCTTATAATATTGTTTGAACGTATTTACTATGACAATCAAGTTTAGTTTTTGATAGTTTTTATAAATTAGAAAAGTTCTTGTTCAAATATCTTTTTGTAACTTCTTTTTCTTGAAGACAAAATCTTTCTTTCGATTGCACTTTACGAGACAGTTATGACCGCCATAATATGTCTGCAAGTACTCTCATCGTATTCGTGAATAATAAATGTTTAAAGTCAAATTACTGACAATATTTATTTCCCTAAAGCTGTTCAAATGAAAACTAAAATAAAATAACCTTAGTGAACGAATAGTACCTCGAACTTTGACTTTATATTTTTTAGGTACAATACTCATTATTTTAAACAATTGCTAGTCTTATACTGTCTGTTCGGCTAAGCAACGGAAACCACTCGGGCGAAAAGTGTAGCCATTGAAAAACTTTGATCGTTATAAACTAGACGAGTGCGAGATAAAAAGAAGTTTCTTGAAACTTGTCTTCTACCAAAGCACATCCAAAATGGTTAACGGAAGGAAAGATAGCATTAAAATGGAAAAAAAATTTGCGCTTTGTGATGAATCCATTTTCATAATGTAATCTCGAAAAAGTAATTAAAAAAAAAAGCTCAGCAGCTCAGAGGAATGAGTTGGTGATCATTTACTTGAATACAAAAAACAAAGTTATTCTAAAAAATTGTCTAGTTCTTTTGCATTTCAAGTTGATCAAAGTTTTAGAATTATACTTTGATAGAATAATAATATCACGTATCAAAATAACATTAAATGATAATTGATCAATGACAGACGAGTTAACAGAGCTGAAGATCAATTTTTGATTAAATATTCATGTTAATCTTCATAAGCCTCAGTGGAGTTCACTTCTACTGCTATTATTATCATGTCAATTACATCTAAAGATGAAGTTTAACTACGAAATTAATGTCAATAAATAAGACAGAAATCTCCAATCAATATTACATAAGTAAGTTAACGTTTGGTTGACACTTGTGAAAATCTTAATGATTTGATTATAACCCAACTAGGATAGTTTAGTTCATTTTATACTCAATAACGATTATCGATAAGCAATTCACCCACTTTATTCACGTGATTAGTTAATAAGTTCAAATTTCTATCATCAATTTCCAGGGAACATTTTCAACATAACGACATGGAATTCTTTTATTTTCACAACACTTAGTAAATAAATATTGTAATTTTACTATTTACATTTTCACTTCCTTATCCCTTATGGCTTTCTCTCTATCGATTTAATGCCAACGCAGAATTTATCAACGATCACAACTGTAACTTAGTGGAAAAGTAAGGATATAGCGTGACCCAAGAGGTGACACTTAACGCACACGACACCAACTTTTCTGACGTAGGAGTGTGAAAAAATATTCACTTAAATGTTCAAACATTTATACAAAAATGGTTCAAACTTTTTTACAACTTGAAAAATTATACAATTCTTATTGAAATAAAATTTGTATTTTATATTATGATTAATGATTCAATTCATAAGATGTTTTATTTTTTCTGATTTATAGAAAAGATGAGGCAGTACGTTGATGTATTAGTTTGCCTATCTTTCTTGAAAGAAGAGAAAGCTAAGATAACTTTTGTTTATTCATCTACACTTGAAAGAAGACAGTCCATTGCTCTTGGACATTTTTGTTGACTCATTGGTCTACCGAGAAACGAAAGCTCTGTAAATACACTGACATATGTGACGCATTGTGTAGCAAAGAGATTACGGCGTTGAAAAGTGAGAAGTTCGGCAAATATTAGAATTCAAAGTATATAGTGAAAAAATTAAATTAAATTAAAAAAATAACTATTGACATATTTAATTTGATTATCCTCTCTGAAAAATTCAATTAATAGCAATGAATAAAATGTTAAAAATTCCAGAGTACCATTAACTAAAATTGTAAATAGAACAATGGTTTTAATTAACTTTGATACAACTAATTTACTAATTTGAACCGAGTATCGATGTAAAATAACTCGATATAGACGCCCGCATCATCTGAACAATGCCCAACAGAGAATGGATTTTCCAACCACACAATGCGACAACACATTCCTATACACTCGTCGACAATTTAACATCCATACCCCTCATAGACCTTCGAATTCGCCAACTTCCGCTTGCTCACGATTTTACCTAAAGTCCTGGCATACCACATTTGCATCTTTGGTCAACGAGCGAAACATTACGGCTTCATCATTTATTTTCCACAGTTTATTCATATAAATAGACACCAAAATTGACAACTTTTAAGCAATCGCTGCGAGCGATGTTTGTCATTTCTATTTGGAACTGAAGTTAAATATGTCGAGTAGTTTTGAATGTATCTCAAAGCGTTTACAAGAGAGAAATGAACAGCTAAATATAATGAAAATTCGTCAAGGGAAATGAAAATACATACTTTTCGATGCAAGTATGTCAAGAATTTTTAATTCAACGAATTTTTTAGTAATTTTTTATAAAATAATTTGCGAATTCTCTGATGAAAGGATTTTAAAAGTATTTTTAGCTGATTTATTTCATTAAAGTAAGATGATTATGAAAACAATTCCATCATATACTATTTAATCATAGCAACCAGTTATTTTTTCATTTAATAAATTCATGTATCTATTTTTAAAAATAATCGTATGTTGTAGCATAAAATTTTTGTTGTAAATTTGTAAGGATTTGGTACAAGCTAGTGAACTGAACTCAATCTATTGTTTAGTTGTTTCGGCATAGAAATTCATAATAGAGAAACGTTGCTAGTAATCGGCAAACAAGTACATCAACGCAAAACATCATCAGGACACGAGTGATCAACACATAGATCTCTATTCCAGTTAATGGGTCTGTTTCCCCTTCAAAGCATTATCACCCTCGAGTAGTTTCATTCAGAAGCTTGTCGCAATGTTCTGCTGCACGTACTCGATTCGTCGTGAATGTAAGTGGGTTCTGTGTACTACTGTGATAATTGCCACATCGTCTTCCTACATGTGAATATTCCAAGCTCTAAGGCGTCAAGTATGCACATTAAGGAGCAACTTATTAAACTAAGCGTTTGTCCATTTGCATATTTAAATTTTCATTCGCACATGCAACAAAGCCACTTTAAAATCGCTGGAAAATCGTATGTAGTCCCAAGAGTGAAATTCTTAGCTATACAACTTTTTTATTCTTTGTTCATATATTTTTTATCAACTTGCTCTCTCAGCGAGTTGAGGGAAAGCAAAGACACACAAGATGCCTGAAATTTTTATCCACATTCAAGCTTTCTTCGTTCTGCATTACTTAAAATCTTACGTTAAGAAAAATTGATGACTTTTTTACTTTTTTCTAAAAATTTTTTTACTTTCTTCTTTTTGTTAAAGTGACTTTTATAATCATTATCACAAGAAACTATCCCATGAGATGAAAAAATTTTACCCAGACTTTCATTAAAATTTATCAACTTTTGTTTCATAGAGATAGAAAAATTAAAAATCTTTGTTATATATGGAGAAAAAAGGGAACCTATTATGCACTCAAATTCATTCAAAATATATTTGTTTCTATTTACAATATATTGTATGGAGTTCAATGTATGTACATTGTACACGAAAGTTACTAGTTGCCAAATTCATTAAATTATAAATAAACTCTGAATGACGAGAATTGAACTACTGATAAAAATTTCCAACAAAAGATTAATTTAAAATACCTTTTGAATTTGATGGCATTGATAAAATATCACATTTTTGTATGTTTCAATTAACCTTTTGAACTTGTAGTTAATAATGATCACTTAATTTCAAAATGCATAAAATATATCATGAAATAAGATCAAAAGTTGGTTAAATAAATTTCCCACATTCATACCAAGAATAGAAATTCGATATATGAGGAGAGGAGGTGAGTGAGTATATACGTTGTATCGTTGATTCTCACTACTCATTACATTAATTAGCACAGTGCTTGTGTAGTAGCAACAGGCGCCGACAAAGTTCGCCCACCTGTCCTGATAATGTCTGTTAATATCACGTAAATTGTAATTAATATTCACTGTGTTAATTTACAAACATTGTACACACATGCTAGTATGCTCAAGGTTTCTGATTCTCGAGGAAAGTTTTACGAAAATTTACAGTCAGCAAAGGCCACAATAGCCACACCTGAAGTTATCCCACGTGTTTCTAATACGATTCTAATTGTGCTAACCTCGACTATTTGTTATAAAATCCTCCAAGATTATAAAATACTTACCATTCATCACGTGGGTCTGGTAAAGACCTATGCACCGAAATAAGATCGCTCACGTATTGATTAAATGCATTATTCATCCACCCATCATCAACGAGTTTTTTTACTTCTGACGAGAGATTTGCGGGAAGAATTACAGGTCGACCCATTTCACCTGGATCTTGTTCTTTTGGTGCTGCCAGGACACCGACCCCTGAAAAATTATTTTCATCATTAATAGTAGAATTTTAAAATATCTATCACTTTTTTAAATATAAAATCATCTTTAATAAAAAAAAAATACATAGATTAATTGTATTCTCATCTATAAATTCGAATAGTATTGAACCGTTTCTTTTATTAGATAAATCGAACAAAGGTACCTTGCAAATTTTAAAATGATACATTTTAAGATATGCCTTTTCAACAGTTATTTTTTTTGTTCAGACTCTCAACCTACTTCGAAAATAGTTAAAAGTACAACGTGAGCTTTTCTTTTGTGTTTATACAATTTTATATAGATCATATTGTTGTTGAACTCAAGTATCAAATATTATCCAAGAACGAATTCTACTTTTAGAGTTATATTAATACACAATTTAGTCAATAGAACACTGCATTAATATTTAGTTATTATTGAATAATACTTTCTAGTAGCTAAAATAAAATCAATCCGGATAAATCCTTTTGATTAAATTAATGAATTATTTTATCAAAATAATAAACTAAAATAATATTAAAAAAGTAAATAAATTAGAATGACAGATAAAATTTAATGACAAATACAAAATGACTCTCGATTACATTAAATTAGGAAAGTTACAAACAGTTGAATAATTGAAGATTTCTACAATTTCTTAGTTTACTTAAACTTGAAGATATAATGAAGATTTGCTTAGCGACCTAGTTGAGGGTTTTCCTAATCAAATAAAAGAAACTATATTTGAATTTGTTTGTTTTTAATTATTTCCATTATGAAAATATCAAAGACTTAATAGTATTGACAGTCAAAGTAGTAATGTCATTTGAAAAAAGTTCTGTTCCCCACAACTAAACTGTTTTATATGTCTATATATCATTGCGTATGATAACAATGCATCTTTTATTAAAAATGAGTTGAAGGAATACATTATAAATAATTGTACTTTACCTTGTTCTGGTCCTGAAGCCTGGTTTATTTCGACTTTCTGTACATTAGCAACTGTTTCTTGTTTAGAAACAGCAACTGCTCCAGCAAACTCATTAGCAACCTGAGGTGCGGCTACGCCGGACGGAGCTAGACCCTGAATGTCTGGAGCTGTTCGGTCTTCAGTGTATAAGAGAAAGCAAACGGTTAACCAGACAGTGGCACCTACTACAGCAGCTTTTAACCAAAGTGATCTTCTTCTCGGGAATCCAGGCATTATATTCTTTTATTTTTTTCACGTTTAGACCTCAGAAATGGTGACAATTACTTGGCGATGGACAATCGTAAATTTTTCTGCCGGCGTCGGCGCTTTTCATTTCATTCACGCTGACGCTCGGCGTTACCTCAGCAACATTTTGTGCCAGTTATTCTGTCATTGAGATGTCCGTTTGATAGTGGACGAGAAATTCCCGTCAATTTTACCGTCAAAATATCTGTAACAAAAAATGTCAACATAATTATTTATATATTTGACTTTAATTCATTTAAATAAAATTAATTAAATGCAATTATTTTTTAAGAGTATTCGAATGAATATCAAGAGCCATTAATGAGGAAATTTTCATAAGTTTAAGAAAACTTGAATAAAAGTTCATTAGCTGCGTGGTTGAAGTGAATGAATATGTAGTCAGCCGCCTGTTAGGCCAACTCACGCATTTACACGTTGGCTCTTAACTATTTATGCAGTACTTTGGGAATGTGTAGAAACTTGTATAAGAGGAAACAATACATACGATTATAACGATTTAATCATTACCATATTATACATATGCATAGTTTTCATGCATGTATTATTTTTCGGTTTAAAACAGCAATAGCCATTTGAAATTTACACAAGTACTATCATGTGTAACTTTAAAAACTGCTAATGAGAATAAACTTTATTGACATTTTTGCAAGCACGTGCCATTTTAAATTACAATTCGTGATCCAACCAACTTACCCAGAATTTAGATTTATTTTAGATAAATGAAATAAAAAATAAATGTAACATAACTGTTTATTTTAATATTAGCTCTATTTTTTTTTTTCAATAAAAATATGTAATAAAAATATATAGAATAATATAAATCGACTTTTGGAGTAACATTTATTGGATTATTTTCGACAGTGGAATAATAAATTATAGATATAACTTTTCAATGAATAAAAATTAAAAAAAAAAATACTTTGCATGTAACTTTTCTGCTTTTAATAATTCATATACCACAGGATGTAATTAAGCACATACGTTTATTATTTATTATTTTTTTTTCTTTTTTCATTAATTCAAGGTAAAAATTTCTTTCTTCTTACATGTATTTCACAGGCATTTATGCATTCTCCATTGTGTAATGAATAATATATAAAAGCTACGTGAGATTGAAGAGCATAATACATTCACAAATGAAATAAATGTAAAGAAATATTTGTATGCTTTAAGAAAATAATTGAAGGTTTATAAGTAAGGGAAACTGTAAAAGACCATTTTTTAATATTTTATTTGAATATATATATATATATGCATTTAGTGACTCAGTATAAAGACAATGGTAAAAAGTTTTGAAAAGCTTTAATACCCCTAGAAGGAAGGTTGCACACGTATTTCGGTTGTGGTTGAGCGCATTGAGTGCAGAATCCACGAATCCGAGGGATTTTGTGAGAATATAGTCAGTGGTTCGAACGAGCCCCAGGAGTCGGATAAACGTAGCAAGGGAAGGGGATTTGGAATCTGCATGATCCACTGAATGTGGCGGATCGCCAGGAAGATAGGAAAGATAATTGGAAGTGGCATGTCGTAAAACAATATATAGATAAATAAATATAATCATCAAGACAACTAAATATAGATATCGCAATTATTTTTTGCATATCATCCAATTTTTCATTTCTCAGTATTTTTATTTTCCTCCTTAAAAACAATTTGTGTTTTCTTATTCGTGTGCTTGTCAACAAAGGTAGAATTTTTCATGCCATTCTGGTTTGTCAACTACTCGTACAGGAGTATCGTTTCTTAGCATCTGAAGTAGAATTTTCATTATTATTATTATTATCATTTCCCATCTCTTTTCTCTTTATTAATCTGAATGAAGAAAATCTTGAAGAAAAAGGATAACGTTCTATTGGTGGACTACACAAGATGCGACACCTCTATTCTTGCATCTTCCGGCCGTTGCGCTTCTGCATTTCCACTTCACCGCCTACAGCAAAAGCGAGAAGACTTAAATACTAAAAAGACAAGAGAAACGAAAGGAAAAATGAGATGAGAAGAAGAGAAAAATAGAGACCAGTCTTGGCGACATTCTCCTTTGCTTCTTTTTTTTTTTATTTTTCTCAAACTTTTCTACCTTTTTTATTGTCGAGTCTCTATTTCTTTGCTTTTATTTTTCCCCAACTTGCAATTCACCTTATTACTGATTTATCAAACGATTGTTGTATTGAACAAATTAATAATAAAGAGAGTAAAATACTGAAAATTACCCAAAATATATTAAATGAAAAAAAAAAAGATGCTTTTTAAAGCATTTTCGTTTCATTTTTCATGTGGGAAATCGAGTAGACACGAACACTAGAGATGAAGCTATTTGATATACCCTGAAAGGATACGTGTTCCGATTCCATAAAGAGGATAGTTTTGATATAGTACATGTGATACTATCAAAAAATATATTCCTCTTCATTTTCACACTTCTCTCGTTTTGACGTTGCCCAAGAAACTCGATTGACCTCTACACGATCGATACTTCACATTCGATTACAAGTATGAATTCTAATGCCATCGATTAAAATAAGCCATTTATGTCGTGTAAATGTATGACAGTTCTATGTATAATTCTTGTAGAGGACAAGCAGAGGACTAAATGTTGGATAATACTCGAACCTCCGCAATATACAATAGAGTAGACGGTCACCCGTGATAACTGCTAACAGAATAATGGGTATCCTAATTATCTCCATTCTGGGGTTAGAAGATTAACAATAGTTGTAAAATCAAGTTTTGATTACATATTGTAAAAATACATATTACATTACATATTACATATTACATATTAAAAATGTAACTCAATCAGTATATTTATTTTTTTTTCTTACATCAATGATGGTGATGATAAAAAAAGGATCTTTTGATTATTTTCTTTTTAAAAAAGAATGAGAGGAAAATGTGTAAAAGCCGATGTAATCGAGGATTTCCTGTCCGTTGCTCGATTTACTTTCAGTTATACCGCTCAGGAAATTGAACGGAAATCTCGTTTTTTTTTTTTGTTCAAATCTTGGATAAACTTAGTTTTCATATAATTGTTATTATTATTCGTAAGTATATATATAAAAAAATTTATTTTAATTTTTTTTCATCAAACATGTTAGATGGCGGTAGTGTACTTTGTTAGGAGGTACAATAGATGATGTTTTTAGACAAAGTATAAATTTGATAAAAGTGTTTTTGAAGCAAAATAATGTCAGACGATCAATAGAGTATAATGAGAAGTAGCAATCCGCAAGTGCAATTACCCTCCGGGCGCGTCAGGATGAAGCAGCGACGTATTCAGTAACAAATGTTCGTCTATCACGTTCGTCTATTTAGCCTTAAGCAACGTCGTATAAATTCTCTTCTCAATTCTCTTATGATGTTCGTCTTCTATCATAAATTCTTTCAAATAGTTTGAGAATAATTTAGCTACTTCATTAAGTTAAAATGTCAAGATCAATATGATATTTTCTGTCGTTTGTTTAAGGACTTTTTATTTGATGGAAATTGAAGAGAATGGATAAATGGCAAAATGGAACATTCTCGATTGTTAGTAAGCAAATTTATCCATTTAGACGATGATGGTATGAACCTTTGAGTGCTGAGCAAATCGAACATCTTCAACGTAAAAGTGGTTCCTTTAGAATATTCACGAAATCCGAGATCAACTACGCAAAGTGGTGGGGTTTTTGTAAAGAAGGATAGAGCGAGAGATAAACTTGAAATAGACGTCGAAGTCCCATTTTGAGGAAATTAACTTTTCAATGAGAAAATCTACAGCTGGATGCCATTGGCTTTCACTTAAACTCATGCAAATCAAGAGCCACGCAAAGGATCGGATGAATATGTTAGTGACAGAAGGTGAAAATGAATTTTAATTCGCAATTTACTCAAAATAATGAAAAAATCATGTAGAAAATTGATTTTAAAATTTAATTTTTATTATTAATTATTTTATTGTACATTTATTGATTAAATTCCAATATTTACTTTGGTGAAATGCAGAAAAATTAATCCAAGTTTTAGTCGAGTGGCAATTAAATTCTCAAGTTGAAAACAAGTGATTTGAATAAAACTAGAAGAGTACAGATGATAATTATTTCCAATAATGAACTTTCTTTCCGTTTTTATCAAGAAATTTTCGTAAAGATAATTTAGGTACTTATTCAACAGTTGAATAAACGCGAATGCAATTAAAGGAGTTTTGAAATAAGATTTTGATCCACTTGAAATTACTGTAATAAAGACAACTAAAAAATTCTAGAGGATTATTGTTAAAAACAGTTTTTCTTTGAGTTTTAAAATACCTAAAAATTAACAAGCGTTTCGAAAAGCATTAAAAAAATATTGTCTCAAGACTAAAGTGTTATCAGTCCAAATATCATTCTAAGAATTTAAAACCGAAAAAAAATTAGAGAGTTAAACATTAAATATGCAAAACGTAACAATTCGATTTATCCGATTTCCTCTTTTTTATTACAATTATTTTATTCAACTTTCATCTTTATACTTAAATAAAATTGCATTGCCAATCGTCATCCTATTGTGAATTAAACTAATTATTGTTGAAAAAAAAATTGTTGTGAATGATAAAAAAAATTACATCAATTTATATATTATTATTATTATTATTATTATTATTATTATTATATATTTACTTATTTTAGCTGACGGCATTGTTAGATGGTTCAATATGTATATATGTATGTATATGGATAGAGAATAGAATGTTACCATAATGTGATTTTTTTAATTATGTACTGACCTAATACTAATAGAAAGGGAAAAATAAAAAATTATTCACACGCAATATTCATACCGACGACAAAGTGGGCCTGCAAAATCTATCGCGTACTGTTGACTTGTTGTCACGCAACGACAGCAAGCGGCAATCGGTGAAATTTAACCGACAACATACAATGACACGTCGCGTTCTACAGGAAACTTCAATCTTATCACAGCACGCGACAATGTCCTCCTCAACATTCTTGAATGGTTCATTGTATATTAAATTCAAAAATATTCTAATATATGACAACGTGATATATAAGTCTATTATACGGATTAATTGATTAATTATTTAATCTACTTTTTTTTCTTCTGCGATTTTTTAAAATGTCATATTGAACAGCAGTTAATATGAACGCTTATAATGAAATGATATATTTTTTAATATCTAACGTGACGTATGAGAAATATTATATACAATTTATTGCTCGTAGCAGATCTCTCAATTAAAATGGATTAATTTAATGGTTTCGTATGATATTCGATTGATTAGGTCAACTACCAATATCGGTAAGCGTAATCAATTTAATGAAATTTGTAACAAATAAATACCAATAATTCAGCATCCTTCAATCATGAAAAATAAAATAAAGTTAAATGCAAACAATGTTATAATATTATTTAATTTTAAAAGATTTATCTTCTCGACGAAATTGCGATGATAAAAGGAAATTATTGATAAGAGTCGATAGAAATGGATGTAAACTAGATGAAGTGATACTGAGTAGTATGTGTGGTTGGAAAGCAAGTTTTTTTTTCTCGTTACAGAAAAAGGGAGGCGTCGAGAATGATTCACTGCAGTATACAAACAAGTTAGTAATTGGATTGTAACCGTAGTAAGAGAGAAATAAAACCATCAGCGTACCAATTTGTGTGTCTGCGTATTGTGGTTGTACTTTTCGTTATGAGTCTCAACAGATTCGCGAGACTTGAGCAAATACGAGAGCTTCAAGTTAATTAGTTGATACATAAACGAATAATATCAACAAAATAATTAATTTACTTGAATGATAGAAAACAGGATATTGTTGATGAGTTGTATAATAACATCGTGTTAATAATACATAAACCATAAACACAATTTTGTTCAGAAATTATACGAGAATATATTTAACGATTAATTTAAAAAAAAAAAAATATAAATATTCTGATAAAGGTATGAAAACCGTAAATTGTAATTATCTCATGTCCCCAAATGGGAAAACCGAATTGATCGGTACAATATATTTGTTATATTCGAGTATATTGAGACTCGATATTGCAACGGGTGATCACCACCTTTCCAATACCACAAAGCATACCTTCTATTCGTACTCTGGTAAATGCTTTCTCGTTGTTTTAAAATATGCAACGTAATTATTTCGAGTGTTTCAGCGACTCTAGTGCTTTAATGGAAACATACTCATGCCTCATGCTAAATTTCATGAAAAAATTATTAATCAACTTGAATATTATATTCAGTTCGTTAATCGATATCAATATACCAATCCACTAGTGTAATCAACAAATTCATTCCTCAGGATTTATTTTCTTTAATTTTTTAATTAAGACTGGAGTAAAATTTTACAACTTTCATGTTATGATTAATCAAATGTCAATTAGTATAAAAAGAAATATCTTACCTTTTATGAATTGTGAAGTTCTTGAAAATAAATTAGATCAGACTTAATTATTTGGCTGAGCTTTTAACTCGGTAAATCTGTAACAAAAGAAAAAAACAACAAATTATAATTTAATTAAACAGTGAATAATCTTAAATCTTAGCATGCTAAGTAACTATTCGAAGAATTAAAGTATTAATGTAGTTTAAGATGCAAACGTTTGAAAAATGAAACCTAATTGAGAAAGAGGGAACTCAAATTCACCGTCAGTCATCCTTTACTTTGGAGAAAACTATGTAAAATTTTAGTTAGTTATCTTTTAATCCTTCGAAAATAATTACGAGGGTTTGATTCTGCTACGAATATAATTCGACAATATGAATGTGTATGATTATCTTGTTTTAAAAATGAGAACTAAAAGATAAAGTTGTGCTGCTTGCTCGAGCACACTTCTGTTATGTGTAGAACTATACATGTCAGATGCAGGATGGCACTTCTGATGGCTATCGTGTACTTACGTTGCACTTGTGCCTGTTGCTAACATCAGTAAGTAATGGCCACGTTTGTAATAACAGTAACACAATAACAACACACTGAATCGAGACAATATCATACTTGCTATATTTTCATTATAAAATATCCATTGTTTAAGTTTTTTTTATTAATGTAGCTATAATTAATGTACTTACTTCGACTGTTCTTATGATTACAAATGAAATTAAAAATTCTATAAATAATTTTTTCATCTTTAATATTAATTTGAATTAGCGAGAATCATAATTTCAAACGGTTTCATTTTCTAAAATATATATTATTTACATTTTATTTTATTTTTCTTTGCATTCATCTGGTAATTTACGTAATTACTTTTTAAGTATATACAGAGGAAAATAAACCGTAGTTGATTGCTTGTCAAACATCTGAGTAATACATCTGAGAATAATAAATAGCAATTATTATTCAAACGAATAAAATGACGATAATTTTAAAATTAAACTGTTAATTTTATCCCGTTTTAAAGATAGATGTTAATCAAAGAAAAAGGATCTAAATTCACTTCGATTACATCTTTTAATCATTGAAGATAGCTTTTGATTAAATATTTTTACCTAATTGAAATCATTTTTAAATTAATAAATTTATAATTCAGTCAAGGTTTTGTCTTTTATTGTTGGACAGAAAGAAAAAAAAAACTGGCACAAAGCTGCTTTCGATATCGAACATTGTTGTATCATTGACTTAAAGCAAACCTGACCTTAAGACATGAAAACACGACAGAATGACCTGACTTGTTAGAGTCTAACAGAAGACGAAAATTCGTGCAATCCCACAACGTAATTTAATTTAATGGAGCAACGCCCTGGCAAACTTTCTCGAATCCCTTGAGTAAGGTGAGAAGAAGGGAGAAAGGAAACGAAGGAATGATAAAAAAAAAGTAAGAAGAATTGTAGACGAACCACCGTCGTGGTCTCCATCCAATGGAGATAAAAGAGAAGGTGGATGGATTTTTATCGCTGACTCGACTCCCAGTCGATTACTAGATATACCAAGAGGTAACTATGAATTTGCTTTCGTCCGATTCACGAATATCTTCTCTCTCCAGATTTATTGCAGTTTTACAAAAATTTTGTTTTATTAAAATTTGATAATATTATTCTTAAAAGACCGATTGCAGCAGAGTTGAAATTTTCAAATGTCTTTATCATTTCAATAGCACTCTATTTAATAAAAATGCAAAATCCTTGAAATGTATATTATATATATGCATCATCTTATAGACTTCATTCCATTTCTTGAATAAGCCAAGTTATCGTTTGCATTTGTTTCTTTTTCAGAACTCGGAAAAAATTATAAGATTTAAGAAAACTACTTTTTCTTTATTACCAAAAAAAGTAAATAATAATAATAAATAAATAAATAAATAAATAAGACATTGTTGGTTTTTACTTAATCTGTCAACTTGATGAGTTTATTTGAGAATACGAGAAGAAAAAGGAGCTTGAGAACAGCTTGTCAGTGGATAACGGTAGGTCGTTGGGTGGCCCACGAGGGGTGCAAATGGTGTGTAACTAGCTCTAGGTTCCTCCGGGACTAGTCGGGGTAGTGAGACGAGAAGAGAAAATACAACGTTTGCAACACAGTACTGCTCGAGTTTATCGCTTGCAACCGCTTTTCTCGCGACATCCCTTGGGCCAACACTGTTACATGGTTCGGGCGATCCCACATTTGTCCACGCCCAAAGACTCAGTCTAATCGACCTATGCTTATCGTTTTTTATCGCTGCTATTTTATCTTTAGGTTACAAATAAAATTCCAATACTCCTAGTAGATACAATTTTACACTATTTTTCATACTCAGTTCAACTGTTTCCAACATAAAACATATTATTTAAAATAAAATTTAAACACATGAATAAATATTTTTTTTCTCTTGAAAACTTTTCAACTTAGGACGTTGATAAATACACTGGTGTTGGTACCACTTAAATGGTTCGTTGAACGAGGAAGAAGTTAATGACGCGACAATGTCAGGATTACGAAATTGCACCAAGTGTCAGTGTTACGAGTAGTTTGCTGGACACCACAGTATAAACCATTACAATCCTATGTATTCATATTGTCACTTTCATGTTGTTATTATTTTGAATTAGTATAGGCAATATGTAATTCGTTTATGTAGTGAAATAAATCTCAATAATTGTTTTTTTTTACCAAAAAGTTATACAGGATTGGCTTAATATAATTATGACATTTAAAATAGTAATAATTTTAGAAATAAATTAAATAAAATTGAGAGAATTTTAAATAAATAAATAACAAGCTAAAATGGAAACTATAAATTGAAATTTTTTTTAAATTTTTTCACTGAAGTTATGAATAAATAATTTTCATCTACATAAAATTTTTTAAGCGTAATGAAAATATGTAAATATTTAAAATCATTTATCTCTAAAGTTATATTGGAATTAAGGATATCATTCGTAAAATACTGTTATGCTCAGAAAATATAAGTAGAGCAAAAAAGATAAAAAGAGAGAAGGCGAGAGTCTAAATAGGGTTGAAATTTACGAGGGAAATGAGAGAAGTTTTTCTCGACGTGCACGAAGCTCAACTAATATAAAAGCAGTGTGTCGTAAATGAGAAGAAAGAGGAACGAACGTCCTAGAGTGACGACAAACTGGTGAGGCTGTGATTATATAGAGCCCTCAGGGTTACTAAGCTATTAAACTAGGTCCAGAGAACGATTTTCATGTGAAATATATTTAATATTATGGAGAGAAATAAACCAGATTTATTTCATCCCTAATAATCTTATTTTAATCTTTTTAATGTTGCTATATTTTATTTCATGGACATGTAATTGAATTTTTAAATTATTTTTATAAATTCAAATGCACAACTATTTTTAAATGGCAAATAATAAATTTAATCTGATGATTTCTTCAAGCTTTTTGTTTTTTTTTTTTTAAACAAAAAATATCACAGGGATGAAAGCTTATGTTGAAAGATCGCGAGATTGCCTGTGAGGGGACTTTACTTAAGGACCACAGCGAGGTACTCGCTTAGGAAAAAGACCTTGGTCTGATAGGACGTGATTTATGGTCGAGCTGCACTAAAGGAAAAGACCTTCAGTCGACTGGACTCTTGTTCCTTGCGATGTCGTCATCGTCAACCACTGAACAGCGAAAGAGGGTTGGGGGGTAGTTTGTAACGTAACTTTGATGTGGGCTAGCTTCAGGCGCCATTGCACGCTCATACACGATGAAAAACTCGTTATTTTTCTGCGGTTTTAACTTTACTACTATACTATATATAATGTATTAAGCATGAGAATATGTAAGTGTACTTCATTTCAAATACCTAAGAAATGAGAACATTACGATTACTGATTATTCTTTCACGTGTATAATTCCGTTAGTCTTTCATCAACTTCTGCCATCAAATATCAATTTTATAAATTGAACTTCCTTGTTATTTTATTTTAATATAAATAAGAATGATAATCAAAATGGTATAAAAATAAAAGTCTCTCTAATAAATAGATAAATTATTTGACAATAAAAATTTAATTTAAAAATTACTTGAAGTAATTTCTAAAATAATAAACTCAATTTTAAAATAACCTTTTGACTGTTATTATCAGTTAATCTTGATAAATGTAAAAAAGTAAATTTCTCAATAATTCTATCAAAAGAATTTAGTTATAATAATAAGTATATTAAAAAAAATATTGTTAACCTTTAAACCATTTTTATAGAATAATAAATTTATTTTTTGATATTTCAAAAGAACTTTTGTTCAACAGTTATATATGCACTGTACTCATTTGAAACAAATGTTAAGTCCTATTTTTAGTAAAGGTGAATTCAAGTAGAAACGCCCATGAACTAGTCAGCCACAATTTCTCAGTATTCAACACTCTTTTATTCTTTCTCTTTCTCACCAATTCAAAGCGAGTATATCGAATAATTGACGTGGAATAATTTGACGGTTGCACGCGAGATTTACAGGGTCGAACAGTTTAAATCTCTACAGCTTTGTAGTGACGAGTTCCGATCATGACGAGTGATATGAAAGTAAATTAAAGATGTGTTGTAAATCAACAATTAATTCTAACATTCTGAGTTTAATTACACACAAATAATTTTGAATCACCTACAGTTGGATATATTCAATCTCTAAATAGAATAATGTAAATGTCTACCACCCAAATTTAGTATCCCAATAATCGCTGAATCTGTTCATTTATTATTTGACATGGTAAACAGACATCCTATTCGACAAACGACCTGGTAATTCTGTTCAAAAGGGAGAGAGAGAACGATGGATGTAATATGTGTATCAATTGAGCTTGCGTTCAAGCTAATCGCTGAAACAAGCTTAAATGCATCAAGCTTTAGCCTTGTGCATACCATTCAGTAATTACGACATGAACCACGTACTTGTGTTCTACTAAAGGCATCTTCTGGATTATAGACTGGATCCTGAAGAAACCGATATGAATATTAAGATTATAGAAAATTTATAGTCGCTATCTTACACCAACTAGATAAGTCATTTTTTTAATTATTTTTCCTTTTTAGTCAAAAGTTTATTT